ATTACGTCGCACAACAGCGACCTCCCACCCCCTTTTGTGTACTTTGTAGACCGCGTGCATTGCACATCCTCGACATCCAAAGCATGAGCGCGGAGTGATCATGAACGGAGCCGCCTTGTTTCTTGATTCTGTCGACCCACAGACTCGTCCCATAATTTCATCGTCCAACGTTGAAGTTTTCGCTGCCTGGACAAATACGACGTGCCCCGTACTACTTGTTGTACAAAGACGACTACTCAAATATCGCCCCCGTCGTTGGTCACATCGTGATGCCACTGTTTCCATTCTCGTCGCTTTGGTTGCGCGAGACAGACTAGAAAACCCTTAAAAAATCTCGGGCAGGAAGAAAATCTTGAAACATCAGGCACTCGTGGTTCTTCAGCGGCACGAACGGGTATTACAACAGGTTCTGTACGTGAGAATTACGTCCTACATCGACATATGTTGCATATGTGCACATATTCGCAAGTAGTTGTTATCCCTGCTATTTGGTCCCACGGGAAGCACGCTTGTGCGACCGCTGGATCTCTCTCCATTGGCAATTTCTGGCGATTTTTTTTTGGCGATGGATGATGGTCATCAACTTTGGCAGGGTAGCTCATCCTGGCGGAGGTAGTCTGTAATGTGGAGTTTCGCTGTAAACGTATACAAAGGGGCAGACTGAAGTTCGAAATTCGGGATTAGAAAAGTCTGCCCTGGCCTCAGCGTAATAGCACTTCGCAGTAGGTGTGCTGGAGAGCTCCTTCGTCGTCAGAACACAGAACTAATTGTGCTCTGGCAATCACATTGTAGCTTTGGAGTTTGCAATTCCAGTGGATCGCATCTCTCCTTTCCCATCTATGTGGTGCCTTGTTTTAGTGCGATCTTACGATGAGCTCCATGTGAATGTCGTAAACTCATGGTTAGTCAGTTCCGCGGAGGGCGGAGCAATACGATCTTGAGATGCTTGTATTCTAAAGTAAGATACATCTTACGAAGTACATAAGACTCCTTTTTGTCGCTAGAGGCTCGACATTGCTGTTGCCACTTTTGTATTTCCCTTACGTGATGGTTTTATTGCAGAGAAGCTTACCGGTCCCCATTGTTTGGCGTGCATAATAGGCCGCCTGCTATTCCATTGCCATTGTTCGATACGCGACAGCAACGCTAACTTTACCCACTAACGTTGCCCACTAACGGTGCCAACGTTGTCCACTAATGTCCACCCGCCTGTCAAAACTTCTGCATCCAAGCACAAGCATGCATTGGCGTGCGAGCGTCGAAGGAAATGAGCACATGAAAGAAAAAGTTGTCTTTGCAGTCACATTTCAATACGGATTATTATAGTGTCGTAGTCGTGGTTTGGGACAAGACTTTCTAAGCGGTGCCACACCTGGAACCCCCCAATTCCCCTATACCACGCCCCTATAAATCGACATCCTATCTTACCAGTCCAGCAGGGCACGGTAGCTCCGTATCCTCGTCTGCCACGCTTCACTGTCTCGTCTTCCCGGCAGGGATGCGCATGTGGAAGGCATCACCAATGCTCCTTGCATCTACGACCCACCACCATAACGACAGGACGGAGCATGGGAAAGCAATATTTGCCAAGTAAGTCTCTTGCGTTGCACTCGCAGCTCCTTGCATGGCCGTCCGAGTGAGGGAAACCAAGGCGCACAAATCGTCAGTCGCCGTACCAATCGCTTCCTAGAAGCCGCATGGTGTTCAAATACGGAGTTCTCTCATACTTCGTACATCGGTGCCAAGCACCTGAGCAGTGCTGAGGTCAAAGCACCGCCCATCCATCTGCCCGAAGCATCGCATCTCGTCCTATCTCGTCACGCTCCACACCCTTCTGTCACTATCCTTGCCTGGTGTCCGCTAATAGAATGCGCGAATCAGAATGCCAGGAGCAAGGGTCCGGCCTCAAGAGAGAGCTCACAGAAGGAGGTACCGTCTATGAAAGGCTTGCAAAGTGCTGGGTCATCCCATCCTACCAACGCAAGCTGAAAAGATTGTCTTGTTGTATTAAAAAAAAAAGAGAAAAAAAAAAGGGACGGTGTGTGAAACCGGTCTCAATATACAGAATACACGCCGTATAATAAGTTTAACGGGAGTGTAATTATACAGTTCTGCTGTCTCCAACATCTCGTCATATGTACTCCGTATTACTTTGTACGAATGTGGCCCACTGGGGCCAACCCACACCATAATCCCGGAGCCTCGAATGAGATCCTTTCCCAACGAGTCCCCTGCCCCCTTGGCAAATCTCGACGATGAGACCGCAATACAGATCGTTGTGGGTGCTTCCGGCCCCTCAAAATGTTTGCCTCCATGTTTCGCCTAATCAGTCGTCTTTGCATCCATTTCAAAAACTCACTGACTTCCTTTTCTGTGGTCGACACAGGGACTGGAAAGAAAGCCAGCTTCTCATCGACGAGCAGACAGATTGATCCCACTTCGACTCGCTTTCTCCTGCCTCTCTCTGGCTTGTTCCTGGCTCGTTTGTTTGCTCCTTCTCTCGTATCCTCTGTCGCGTCTCATCCCACGCCCGACCTTGCCATATTGGGACAATCCTTGTCACCTACATCTCATAAACTAGCCAGAAATGGCCGTCCAAATCATGACAGGGGAAAGGGCGTGTCCTCTTCGTCGTATTTGTCCACTCGCTTCGATATATTTCTCGGCCCTTGAGCCCCCCCCCCCCCCCCCCCCCCCCCGNAGTATCTCTCACTTCACTGGGTTTTTTTCGTTTGCCTAGTTCAGTGGCAGCCCATTGCAATGATCGAGTCGGTGCAGGAACTGTGCTGAAAATCACGTTTGCGTCCTGCCCACCTTCTTGCTGCTCAACTTGGCTTGTTAACAAGAGCGACCGTTCTGTTGTCGAACGAACCATCTGAATTTATTTGTCGGCTTTGTATTATCCGATTACGGGTGATACTGCCGACAAACTATTAATCCGTATCGTTTGCGATTGTCGCGCATCGCCCAATTTTTATCCCATATTTCATTCTTCCAATTTCCCGGTCCAGTCCGTCCCATTCTATAGCCAATCCTCTGCTCAGACCCAGTTCCCGTTATCTGTGCGATCAAACCTGGTTATCGAGCTTTTACAGCGCCCCGACGCGCCTTCCCCCGCCCTGTTCCTGCCAATGCATGCTTAATTTTCAATGTATTATGGGATAATTAAGCCGTAGTAGAAAATAAACTTGACCACGCACGCGAAATAAGCTTTTGTGTTTTGTCTGCCAGCTGTGAAGAATCCAAAGAAAATACAAGTTTGCCGTTAGTTTCAATGTTATTATATGAAATCAAACGTAAAGAAACATGTGCACATATACAGAATACTATACGGGGTGCAGGCGAACTCTTCTGGGCTCGTCTTACATGTCGTCTCAGCTCCACGCGCGTCAAGAAGGTGCAAATATTGTCCTGCCCTCGTGGGAAATAACAAAAGATGGAGCTGTCCACCGTTTCTTCGTCTTCGACCTCCATGGGCTCCACCACCGAATCTTTGGCCAAGCCACCGTCACCGCATCGCTCCGCAAGCCCCCCCTTTTATCACCCCCGGTGTACTCATTCTTTAGCTACCATTTTCGTTTCCCTCTCTTTTTTTTTCGCGCAGGAACATGCATTCAGCGTATGCACACGCCCCCTCACACCCCTTCCCTCGTTCCTTCCTCCCCCCGGTCCACCACCACCCCCTTTCCCATCCCAAAGATTCGCTCTTTCCCATCCCATCGCGCTTTCCCAGGTCCACTGTCCCAGTCCGTTCCCAGAGAGTGGCAAAATCCCAGGCAGGCCCAAAGTGGTCACAGTGTTCCCAGGTGTTCAGTCCCAGCGTGCCTTCCAAATCCCAGTCCCAGTCCACAGGACCCAGCCCCGCCCAAGGGCCCAGTCAGTCCTGCGGGCCCATCCAGCGAACGTTCAGCCCCAGCAACTGTGCTTTCTTGCTTCCCTGGCCTGCCCCGGCCTAGTCCTTCCCTGTCTTGAACTGGCACGCACCTTTTGACAACTCCTTTCCTCTGATGGATACATGACTAGACGCCTGCCCTCAACACTCGTGCAGCTCGATTTTGCACTCTTTTTTGAATTTTCACCTTTTTCTGCTCAACCTTTCCTTCACCTCGAATCTCAACTTCGACCTCTCATCTTCCAACCCTCTGTTGCCTACGTTCGTCTTGCCGCTCTCCTTGACGGGCTTCTTCCCTCTAAAAGTCGGCAACGCGTCCGTATTTCCGGCCGCGACGACCGTCGGCTCACTTTGTTTCGTTCTCACCTTTTGTTATCGTTTTCCTTATTCTCGCTTTCCTTCCTTTTCTTTTCCGTTCTCTCTACCCTCAGCAGCTTGACAGCCGCTCCCATACACCTTTTCCTTTTCTCTTATTTTACTTTACACAAAGAGTACTCCGTACACGACGACATATACGGCAAGCAGAAGGTTCTGACGACGGGATCTTCAGTTCTACCAAAAGCAGGAGGGCCCAGAACGAACTCGAAACTCGAAACTCGACGCAACAAAACGGGGCCGAGCCGACCCACGGACCACGGACCACGGACCAGGACAACAGATCACAACTTGCGAATTGCGGATCTCGCGAACCTCGCACAATAGGCCTACGGCCACGACCGCGCTCGACCGCTGTCTGTCTAAATGTTCCCAGCTCTGGTCTGCTCCGCTGAATAAGACAGTCCGCAGGACCGTCCGAGCTGTGTGCATCACGACCCTGCGCCGACCGCTATGGAAGTAGGAGAAACTGGCTCCGGGCAAAGGTGGGTACAAAATCAACAAGTCGAGAGACTTGACGAGACTGGAGAGAGGGTAGTACGGGTTTTAGAGGGACTGGGAACATATCATCGTCTGACTTCCAAGGATATCGTCTGCCAGCATCCCACGCAACGCAACTGCGCACAGCATCCTGAGCAACAGCACAGACCACTACAATCAACCACGGGACTCTAGAGACGTCAGAGAATCGCAGGACCAAAGAGACAACAGAGACCCGCGAGACGCCTCCAACATGGCCACTGCAGCCCTCATCAGCCCCAACACCCCCTACTATCCACACCACTCGCCCTCATCGTACTCGTCTGGCGGCTACTACCAACAACAGGGACCGCAACAAGGACAACACCAAGACGCGTCACAAAACCGCGGTCCCGGAAACGGCCACGCCCATATCCACAGCCACTCCCACGGCCACGGCCACGGTCACGGTCACGGTCACGGACAAATATCACCGTCCACTACAGCAGCTGGAATGATCTCACCTGTCGATTCGCGCCGTACCTCCGACGACCACGACATGTCGGGCCACCGCCAGTCTCTTCCCTCTCTCAAAGAGATTATTGGCAAGACTACCTCCTCGAGCTACCACCACCCGTCGTCGGCGCCACCTAGTGGACCTCAGCATGGGCTGCCCTCTCCTTTCTCGACAACGGCTCCACCACGGCCTTTCCCGGCCGAGTCCCCCAGCGACATGCAGCATTCGCCTCGATCACTGCACCACCCGGCTTCTATCCCACCTCCTCCTTCGTCCATGTACAACCAACGACCAGAGCCGACATCGACATTTCCCGCGCCACCACGTCCGCCGCTTCCCGGCCGTGCACATGGTACCCCTCCGCCGAATGCAGAGTCTCACCAAGGCGGGCAGCCACCGTCTTCGGTTCAGTCTTTGATTAATCCACAGCACCCGGTACAGCATGTGCCGCACTATCCTCACTCGTCGCAACAGCAGCGCCACCCTCAGGATCAACCTCCTTCGCAACTCCAATCATACCACCATCAAGGCCCAGCGCCACGTGATGCTCGGTCTGCTCACGGCGACAGCCCACCATCATACCATGCGTTTCCGAATGCGCCTGGCCAGCAACCGCCATACCCAACACACTCAGCCTCCCAACACCCTCTGCCACCCCCGCCGCCTACGCAGGGCCACATGTCAGCATCCCACCCAGCATCGCCTCATCATTCAGGACCTCCATCGTTGCCGTCTCCCTTCGAGTCACATCAGCAACCCTTGATGCATGAGCCTCCCGTCGACTTGAACCGGTCACGGACACGGTACGATCAGGCAGTCTCCCGGCACTTTGAATCTTGGAGCTACACGGAGTATCTCGCACGGGTATGTATACTTTCTCTGATGTGGATCTGACGTGGAGGTGCCATGGTCGTTCTTCGCATATGTCTTTATATCTCGAAGGAAACCTTAACTAACAGTGGCCAACAGATTGGAAGCAATTCGCGGACAATATACAACTTCGCTGAGGCCTTTGGCAGTATCGCACGGGAAGAGCACGGGCCGCACCCGATGCCGGGGCGCATGCCGAGCGACCGCGAAGTTTGCGAAATGATCAGCAATGCAGAGTGGCTGAAAACGATGCTGGAAAGCCTTCGCCACATGGTCCAGAACACCGTCAGTGAAGGCAACTCTGGACCTGGCAGCGGAAGTGCGAGTGGCCCTTCCAGCGGCAGTAGCGGCAGGCAGAAGCCTGCAAATATGGACGACGCAGACATGCCAATGTACAGCGAACCCGGGCAGAAGCCGTACGGCATGGAGGTGAAGAAGAGACGAGGCGTATGTTCATCCACTCCACCTCATCCCGAATCACCATATTGTTGAATTAAATAACTGATTGTGGTTTACAGAGAGCTGCACCGCCTGGAAGATGCCACAGCTGCAACCGCATCGATACACCCGAATGGCGGCGGGGACCTGATGGTGCCCGCACGCTCTGTAACGCATGCGGTCTTCATTATGCAAAGCTTGAGCGCAAGAAGCAGTTGGAGAGTCGGCAAATTCGGCCCAAACATCCAGACGACCGACGCTGAACGATCTACAACACCAAACAAATGCTCCATCAACTATTCCCGCATCCAAACCCTCTCAACGTATCGAACTTGAACTTTCGTAACGCTCGGCGAGCAGCCAATGAATACAAAACACGGCGAGAAAAAAGCGACTATATAACTTGTTATTCTAATCCATTATTTATTTCAGAAGGCATTTACACAAAGATGAGATAAGGCGGCAATGGCCGTTGACGACAAAGGCCAACGTTTGGATATTTTTTTTCGGATTTTTTGGGGCTTCTTAATTTCTGTTTTATTTGCGAGTTTCCTGCATTTTGCAGTGCCACTTTGGTTGCTCTTCGTTTCTTACGTTCACCTTATTGTTACCGTTTCCAATCCCTACCCGGTGCTGGTCAGAGGACCCTCATTTGGTTCTTGGGTATCAGGGCGTGTGTAAGTGTAGATGGCTAGGCGGTGTCAAAAAAAAGTTGGGCGCCATCGCAGCTTGGGATAGGGGCATTTTCTCTATACCGCCGATTTACGTGTCCTTGCCATGTTCCTTTTTTTCACGACAAAATCGGCCTAGAATCGGGTTTTTGGTGTATATATACCCCCTTATCTTGTTTTGTTCCTTTTAACTTTTCTTATTTTCACCTATATTCTCAGTGGAGCGTCTTGTTTACCCTCTCTCGCATGGCTGGCGGAACAACACACAATCACACGCATCGCAAAATTACAACTGCCCAAACAAATAAAATGGATTTGGACCATGGCGGTATAGTCTCGACTCAGACGATATGACATCATCCATTTGCGCATTAATTATACCAGCGTATTCAGTCAGCTGTTGGTTGGCACATTTTTTCCTCGTCTTCGGTGAACCATATCTACCTGGTCCCCCGATCGATCACGTCGTACTTGTAAGATGTGACAAACACAAAACTAGGTGATACAAGTTTACTGCAATGTATAGTTGTTGCAAAGGATGCAGGTGTGGCCGGTGGTGTGTGGGACCGCATTTGTTTCGTATTATTGAGTACATGTAATGTTATTTTTGGGCTCCGGAAATCAATTTTGCCAGAATACGATGTACATGAAAGCATGGTTATTTGATATTTGTCAATTGTTTCTGTTTTACGTCTTTTTATATATATATAGTGTGTGTGTGTAGTCATAATAAAATAGTAAAACAATAAAATAATAAAAATAATGCTTTGTTAATAACAGCGATACTATCAAATTTTTGCATAGAATTAAAATAAGTAACAAGAAAGTGATCGGCGCATATACTCAATCTTGTTTCCTCTTCGTTCAGAAGAAAAGACAATAAAGACACACACAAACATGCAAACGCAGTGCCAACGTAGAAGTCTCTAAAGAGGCGACCACGAGTTGACCTGCTTGACCTTTAAACAGAGCGATATTTCCGTAATCAAGTTTCATAAAAAAGCTGTAAAAACGTAGAATACTCACTAACGGGTTTCTTCTAAGTAACCACTTTCGACTAACAAAGTACAAGCATTAATCGCCACTTTTGTGCCGATGTGGTAACAATGGCTTTCAAACACTCAATAAACCATAAAAGGATAGAAAAAGAAGGGAAAACAAAAGACAGTAGTAAAGAACAGAAAAACCGTTTCCTGGCACAATAAACCGTGCCTGTGTGTCCTTGGACAACACACATAATCAAAACCCGTACACATCACATATATTACTCTAGTCAACATATTTGTTAACGCAACCCCATTCCGATGACCCTGCGTTTACAAAACCAGAGCACCGGCAAGGGAGAAAAAGAAAACGATAGCTGAGACGATGACCGGGCTCTTGTCCATGGGGCCAACAGTGGCAGGGCCGGCGTTCTTGCTGGAGGTGGGCGACGCGGTGCTCGAACCAGAGCCGGGCGCGGCCATGCTGACGCTGGTGGAGCCTGCATTCTGCGAGCCGCTGCCCGTCAAGCCGGGCCCGGTGCCGGCGCCGCTCTTCATGTACGCCTTTGCGTCTTCGGGAATAGCAGGCAGCAGGGTCGAGTCGACCAGCCAGTCGGCGTCCTTGGTGGGGCAGGCCTGGGTGTTTGTCGTTGACGTGAAGCCGCCATCGCCAGTAGGGGCCGGGTTCGCACTCAGGGCGCTGGCGAATTTGGTAAACTGCGGCAGCTCGCTGACGCTGGAGCCATCAATCGAGGCAATACCGAACTTGTTGACCTCCAGAGCGTACTCGTACATGAGACCACCCGAGTAGACACCAGTCATCTCCTTGTTCATCAGAGCGGCAACCTCGCCAAAGTCACGGCCGTTGGTTATGCAGCCGTACTCGGAGAGGAAGATGGGAAGACCGTAACCAGTGAAGTTCTTGACCTTCTGGTCCCAGCCGGACACGGTGAAGTCGGTGTTGCACCACGAGTAGTCGTTGAAGGCGAAGAAATCGCTGCGCTCGTCGTCAGTGCCGCAGTTCATGTAGTCTGCCAGTTGCATGCGGTTCTGCGACACATCGGCGGCCGAGTAGCCAACAGGGACCTTGCGGTAGCCACGCTCGGTAATGTACTGACGGATGTCGCGGGTGACAGCCTTGACAAACGGTGCAGAGAGGGTGGAGGCAGCGGTGGAGTTAATAACCTCGTTGCCAGAAAAGAAAGCCAGCGTGTTGGAGTACTTGATGAACTCGTCGACGGTGGCAAAGACGCTCTGCAGGTACTTGGCGTTGTAAGAAGGCGCAGGATCGGCACTGTTGATTGAGTACAGGGGATTGTTGACATCGAGAATGGCGTAGATGCCAGCATCCGCCAGGGCGTTCATGCAGGCGTCGTGGTTCTTGGAGTTGTCGGTGATGTACACACGGACGGTATTGACACCCAGCTTCTTGAACTCAGCAATGTCACGGTTGCAGATGTCGGAATCGGCGAGGGGGTCCTTGGAGTCAGACGAGCCACCAGGCTGGTAATCAATACCACGGATGTAGAAACGCGTCTTACCAGCCCAGAACGCTAGATGGAGGTCAGTAAGAAGTGCGTGGAGGGGTCAAGAGACGCGGACGAAGCATTACCGTTGCCAGAGGCCGTGACCGTGGGGAGTGAAGCCGCACGGTTGGCCAGCTCGGGGAGAGTTCTAGACGGTTTGGCGTTGACGCCGGACACGGCCGACAGGGCAGCGACAGCCACCGAGGTGAGTGAGAACGAGCGCATTGTGAAGTTTGGTGAGAGGTTCGGAGGACAAAAGAAAAGTAAAGTTGAACGACAGAGGGTGTGAAGAGGGGAGAAGAGTCAACGAAACACGAAGTACGCGAAGTCGACCAAGATATTAAGATGGCGAGACAAGAAAGAATGCCACGACCGCGTTTGGTTAAAAGACCGGGTCAAATTCCAGTGTCGTCTCGCACAATAGGCAATAAGACGCGTGGGTTCAAAAAAGAGAAGTCGCCTCGGAATGAGAGAAAAGGAACGAAGAAATAAAAACAAGGGACCAGAAATAAAAGAGTGATACTGGGCCGAAGGCAAGTGTTAGCGAGAGACGAAGAAGACGAAGTCGAAGATGGTGAATGAAGGAAGAGAAGGAGTAGAGGAACGAGGGTTGTCGATGGAAAAAGGGAAGAAAATAACAAAAGAGCAAATGGGAAGGAAAAAGGGAAGGCACTGGGTAGAAAAGAAAGACAGAACAAAAGAAGAGTCCCAAAACGGCAACATGTGTGGAATGATGGAAGAAGCGACAAGGGCCGTGCCAAGAAGAGGGCAGCTAAGGGGCAGGAGCCCAGAAAAGCAGGGCAAATCTTGGAAGGAAGCCCGGCAAATAGTGTACCAAGCAATCTGTTATTCAGACGGGAAAGAAGGGCCACTAACAAGGGAGAGACCCATGAAGGGCGGAAGTGGTGGAAAGGTGGGAAGGCCGACAAGGAAGAGGGGAGGGGCGAGGGAACAAAAGGAGGTGTGGACGTAGCGCACTCAACGTGTGATGTCGCGCGTAAAAGGGAAGGAACGATTTGGGGAGACAATGCCAGGAAAGAGCACACGTCGGGGCGTCCTCCTTGCTTGACGCAGCCCGGACTTGCAACACTATGGAATGCAGAGCAATACGATTAGATAGAGTACGAAGGCAACGATGTCCACATATGCTGAGGTTGAAGCCGTCATCACTAGACGCCACGGTCGAACATTCTGCATAACGGCGATTGTTTTTGTAATCGCTACTATGAATAGGACAATTGTCACGCGACGCAATGTGACGTTGTCAACGCTACAAGTTTCGTATGTCCCAGGTCCACACAGTTGTGAATTTGCATATGCGTACCGCGTACGGACGAGACAGAGCACAGAGTAATTGCAAACTGGGTTTGGGTGGTCGTTGCTGACTATGGCTGTCAGTGCGCGTTCCTGTTCCTGGTGCGAGAAGGTGTACCAAGATGTGCCAGGCGAGCCAGGCCTGTTGGGCGATCCTGCGCTAAGGCCCAGGGACCCATTTTCTATTTCTGGTCCTGCTGCGATGGGGCCTCGGGGCATCTCAAACCACGACTCGTTTCTGTGGATTTGGTATGGGCCGCCGAGAACATGATCGGCATCTCCAGTATCGCGATATTCAGGGAGCACTGATGATTTGTGGGTGTGACATTCAAGGGTCGCAACAATGTGACGACAGGCCCAGAAATTTGTGCATTTGTAAGATTACAATGAATGTCGTGTATCGTACATGTTTTTACCTGACACTTACTATTACGGAGCACTTTGCATGCAAATAGAGCCGTGTTAGGCGGTCCTGCGACGTGTTTAGGGAGGAAACAGCACCGTGAAACAGAGCAGTAAGCTTGTTTAGCATTATCTCGCAAGTCAAGACAGAGAGAGGTGGGCCAAGGGGGGCTCGGGGGGCTCGGGGGCTCGAAAGGGCTTGCCGCAGTAAGAAACCTGTGACTATCTGTTTGGCTTGATTCTAGCGTGCGGAGTGAGTCCCATGCGTCCAATCATGCGAGGCACGGATGACCCTTCCTCCCGCCAGCTCCGCTCTTGGTGCGCACACCTTTGCAAAAGGCCCGCACATGCTTTGATCTGCTGGGCCGATCTGTGCCTATCGTTTCATGTTTGCAGTTGGCGCATTGAGTACGGCGAGTATGTACGGAGTTTGTTGTAATTACGAAATAGATGGCCTGTAATTTTGTTCGTATCAAGACTTAGATTTGGTGACCTTGTTGTGAAGTTGTCTTGTTGACCGCACCGCTCTTGATCACTATATCGTAAATGGCCTTCTTTGTCGATGCCAGTTGCATGTCATTGAGTCGAGAGAGAAGGTTTCTGATACGTCGAGATAGCCCTGGTCGTGCCTTCCCGGTCTACCGTCGTATGGTTTACTTCTTCCTTATTAGGATGATCCGGTGGATATGCATGTCGTATGCTGTACTTTGAATGCTAATACACACGTGCGTTGTGTGTTCCGTACATCATCCTTTGTTACCGGGCGCTGTTTCCTATATCGTAAGAACGCCGCACTCACGCCGGTGTTCTTAAGGTCTTAATCACGTTTGACCCATCCTGGACCCATTCTGCACACCGTTGCACTGTTTGGCTGATTCAGCTGATTCTTCGTCAATGCTGTCAATTGTCTAAGCGGCACCCCACAAAGTAGTGCCCAAACAAAGACGCTCCATATCCGAGATGGGAAACCCTGACATGACTGCGCCTCGCCCTGACGCCCTCGCTTTTGAATGTTCTCATCTCACACCTGACAAGACGACACTCCGAAGACTCCTTCGGTTCTATGCAGGATCCAGAATAGAAGAAAGGGGAAAAAATAAGAGAACGCAATCAATCGAAGCAGACGAACAGGAAAAAACAAAAGTAAAATTAAAGACCATTGAAAATGCACCGACCGCAGATGCTAATACAAAAAAAAAAAAAAAAAAAAAAAACAGACGAAAGGAAAGACAGAACGAAAAAGAAGACACAAAAGACGTGTTGCAAAGACAAGCAATGAGGATTCTTACACCGCCTGGACATAGCTGGCCGGAACGCTCTTGGTCACGCCTCCCTTTTCTACCTCTACCCAGCCATCGCCAGGGTCGTCCTTGATCAGTACAAACCGCTCGCCCTCGACCATGTTGTGCTCAGCATCGTTCTGGGCAGAGTATGCATATAGGGCCTCCACGTACTTGAGCTTCTTGGCTCCGCGCCGGGGTGCCACGGCCGGCCCCTTTTTCCTGCTGCCCGCGTTGACCGTGTTGTTGGTGCTGATTGATGAGCCGCTGTTGGAGTACGTTGACTGGCCAGTGTTTTGCGGCGCCATGGCCGCCGGCGGAGCGGCGGAGGCTGGTACGACCTCGACGTACGACGCTGGTACCAGGCCCTCCTTGTAGCCCGCGCGGACCTTGGTCCAGCCAGAGCCACTATCTGGTTCGATGACCACCACATCAATGCCCTCGCCCACCGTCAGCTCACCATCGCCGTTGGCCTCGAACGCATACAGCATTTTCCCTTTGGACTGGCTGCCGCTGCCTGCTGGTGCCTCGGGCACACTCCCGGGCAGCTCATTAATGTACGCTGCTGGCGGTGGCGCCAGGACTCTGCGAGGCGCACCTGTCGGTGGTGGACCACTGCGTGAGTTGGCGGGCAGTTCGGCTGGGCCGCTGCCATCGTCACCTGCTGTTGGCGACCGTGCCCCTGATATGGAGCGATGCGCGCTCGTGGCGTATCCGGAGCTGAGCGAGTTCATCGTGTTGGACCGGCTGAGTTTCGGCAGCTCAGAGGCGCTGGTCGATGCGGAGCCTGTCGCTCCGACGCCGTCGCCTGGCTTCAGCATGGAATTGGCCGCTTCTTGCCGCTCCTGCTTCAGCTTCTTGCGCTCCTCCTTGTTCTGCTCGCCGGGACACTCGGCCGGCACCTTCATCTCACACTTGCTGTGGCAGGTGTAGCCGCAGTCACGGCAGTCGAAGCCTTTGGCAGACAGACCCCATATGCGCTCGCCGCAGAGATCGCAGTTGGTCGGAATTTTAAACGTTTGCGACTTGAAGTTGTGGTTGCGTGCCCCCACCGTGACGTCGCCCACGACAGCTGTGATTGTTGACGTCTCAACCTCGGCTGTGATGCGCTTGCGCTCGACCTGGTGCAGGTCCTCCTGCGCAGCAAACATCTGGCCGACCACCACGACTTCGTCTCGCTTCTCGGTGCCGTCGCGGATCTGCTGCTTCAGCTTCTGAATGGCCTCGACCTCGCGCCGTTTCTTGTCGACTTCGCGCCGCAGGTCCCCCAGCTGGCCCTTGGACTTGTTGAGCACATTCCGTAAGAAGATCTTGGCCATCTCGTCCACGACCATGGAGCCGTCGTCGTGCCATACTGGGCTCGGCTCGAACACCTTGTCCGGGGGCTCTTGCCAACCGCCCACGTTGTGCCGCATGTACATCATGGAGTCGAGCTGTGGCAAGTTACGTGCAATTTCTTGGGTCTGGCGGTCGATAATCGCCGTGCTCTGCTGGAGCATGCTGGACTCCAGCCGGGACGCAACCGTCCACAGGTCATTCAGCCGTAGTGTGCGGAATTCGGCAAGGTCCTGCAGCGAATCGAGCAGCTCTGGTACGTAGTCGTGGTAGTAGCGTTCTTTCTGCTTGTTCGTGACGTTGATGGCGATGAGATACGAGTTCTTGACATTGTTCATTTCGGCGATTTGCTGTTGGTAGGCCGACTGTGCTTTGGCCTGGCCGAAGCCCGTCTCGGTCTTCTTGCGCTTGCTCTCGACCTCCTGGCACACTGCGTCGTACTTGGTCTTGACCTTGCGTAGGTCAGCGTACGAGGCGTCGCGTTCCCGCTCGACCTTCTCGGCAAAGTCAGCGTGGCGCTTGCGCAGCTCCTCGAACCGCACACCAAGCGTCTGTAGCGGCGCGGCGACCTTGTTAATCAGATCGTTTCCGTACGTGTCGTGCTCGTCGGCCCGTGCTTCGAGTGTTGTGAGCTGCGTTGTCCAGGTCGTAAGAGACGCACTTTCGAGAGAGCCGGGCGTCATGGCTGGTGTTTCGCCGACGCTCAGCACCGACGACTTTCGTGTTTTCTTTTCAAAATACTTTTTGGCCAGAACCTTGAGCTTGGCACTGTAATCCTTCTCAATGGCGCTCCGCTCGCGGTAAAACTGCTGGATGTCGTCGAGCCATGCAATGCCGTTCGAGACCCAGGCGTTGGCAGGCTTAAAGCCATCCTGTCCGGAAGAAAAGGGATTAGCATTGAAAACGGCACCAAAAGAAGAACTGGCCAGGCCGCAAGACGCATATGCCGTCCAATCTGGTCGTCCGATCCGGTCATCCAATCCGTCCAACATACCTTCAGCTCAGCGCCGAACGTCGGCGGACTCTCCATGGTGGTGGTCAGGGATTGCTCCGGCGGCACACGTGAGGCTCGGAGGTCAGTGACGCAGCCGGCTCGCACAACATTCAGAGGACGGTTGTCGTCAGTGTGCAAAGGTCTTTGCAACCGTCGAAATTCGCGAAACGCAAGATGCGAAGTCCGAGTGTGGTTGTAGTCGTGGCAGCAAAGACGGGGACTGGGTAGAGGTAGAGTTGCCTTCCTTTCGCCGCGCAGTCGTGTTCGCAGTCGTTTTCGGAGGAGTACGTCGCCGAGTGCTCCATTGGGAAGGCGCAGTGCTCAATGCGATATTTCCAGTCAGCCATGGCGCGGGGAACATGCCCCCCCCCCCCCCCCGGTCGTTTGCTGGAAAGTTGGCTGTAAAGCTGCCTGTATGTCAGTCATTGGTGGTCGTTAGTGGTCTTTTTAGCGGCCCGAGCAGCCTGGCCAGCCTCCACCTCTTAACCCCTCGGTGTAGTGTCTCGACGTATGTTCCTTTCGTGTACCACGTCCCGAACAGGCGCTATTCTGCCGCTCCCTACCGCCTCCACAAGCTCTTAACTGCTGTCCCGAAGCTCTCTGTTTCGCACCCCACCTTTTTGCCCATGGTGTTTGTGCTGTCAATTTGCTTTTGTAGTCTTTGTTTTGCAACCTTTGTTTGGAGCACCGTCAACATCCCGCATTCGTACGCTGCGCTTCCTTTCCGCAAGCCTTGAGTGCCTTCTCAACAAGAAACTCTTGCTCACCTATTTCCCTTTGACGCTGGTACGTACCGTGTGCGCCGTGTATCGCTTTTGTTGGCCACCTGTCGCCCATTTTGTCCTCTCTTGCTTTCTTTTTCTATCTTTCTTTCGCTTTTTCTCTCTTTTTGTTTGCCACGACTTTTCTTCGTACTTGTATTGTTTCCTGATCTCTGCTGACAACTGTCAGTTTAACGCAGCGGCGACGCCAACATCTGTATCGACACCTCCCTTTCACGCCCTTTCACACATACCACAACATAATGGCGGACCTGGCAAGCCGCATTACCAGGCCGGACGGCGCCGCGGCAGACACGCCTGCTGCAGCCGCCCCGGTCGAGGATACTCCCGTCGACACCGCTGGTCCTGGCCTCATTGAGTCTACCTACGACGTCGAAGTCAAGCTCAGCGAACTGGGTTCGCTGACTGACAACCCGCTGTCGTCTGTCTCATCCTTTGAGGAGCTGGGACTGAAGAAGTCCATTATCGACGGCCTGTTCGCCCTCAATTTCAAGAAACCGTCCAAGATTCAGGAACGCGCTCTGCCGCTTCTCCTCGCAGACCCGCCATGCAACATGATTGCCCAGTCGCAATCGGGTACGGGCAAGACGGCCGCTTTTGTCGTTACACTACTGTCACGTGTTGATTTCAGCCAGCCGACGACGCCGCAAGCCCTGGCTCTGGCGCCCAGCCGTGAGCTCGCCCGGCAGATAGAGTCGGTGATTAACCAGATTGGTCAGTTCTGCGAGGGCCTGAATGTGGCTGCTGCGATTCCTGGCGCTGTGGAACGCGGTGCCGCTGTGCAGGCCAATGTCGTCGTGGGCACGCCTGGGACCGTCATGGACCTCATGCGGCGCAAGCAGCTGGATGTGTCGCAGCTGAAGCTCCTTGTTATTGACGAGGCGGACAACATGCTTGACCAGCAGGGGCTCGGCGAGCAGTGCGTGCGCGTTCGTGAGAAACTTCCGCGTTCCATCCAGGTGTTGCTGTTCTCGGCCACTTTCCCCGAAAAAGTTATGCGCTATGCGGAGAAGTTTGCACCGAACGCCAACCAGATGCGCCTGCGCCAGCAGGAGCTGACTGTGCGGGGTATCTCACAGATGTACATGGACTGCCCCTCTGAGACGGAGAAGTACGATGTGCTGTGTAAGCTGTACGGCCTGATGACGATCGGCTCGTCGGTCATCTTTGTCAAGACGCGCCAGAGTGCCAACGAGATCCAGCAACGCATGGAAGCCGATGGCCACCGCATTGCTGCGCTGCATGGCGCGTACGAGGGCGAGAGCCGTGATACGCTGCTCAACGACTTCCGCACGGGCAAGTCCAAGGTGCTTATTACCACAAACGTGTTGGCGCGTGGCATTGACGTGTCGAGTGTGTCGATGGTGATTAACTACGACATCCCGATGAAGGGAATGGGCGACCGTGAGCCGGATGCTGAGACGTACCTGCATCGCATTGGCCGGACGGGTCGCTTCGGCCGTGTCGGCGTCAGTATCAGTTTCGTGCACGACCGGAAGAGCTTCACGGCGCTGGCGGACATTGCCAACCACTACGGCATTGACTTAATCCAGCTGAGTCCTGACGACTGGGAGGAAACAGAGAAGAAGATTCGCCACATTCTGAAGTCGGCTCGTGCCCAACCCGAGTACAAGCCCACATCTGCCGAAGCTGCTGCTTCCGCCGCGCAGGGACCTTAGTATGTTTTGTTACATTTCTGCTGAACCCCTTCTGAGACAGAACGCCTTGTTAACCAAATCAGGGCAGGGACTTTTATGACGTACCCGTCCGGGTTGCTCATGTCGCGCTAGCTAATGTGCATCTGGCAAGGAAGCACTGTCCGATGGAGGCGACAGAGCTGGTCAAGCTAACCCCAGTGAATGGCTGGAGGACATAACCGGCTCGAGAAAATGCGAGGTAGTGTAATACCGGAATAGAACGGGGTAGCTGAAGATGAGACAATAGGAAAATAGGAGGCACAAGGACGAGGATATGTTCAAAGATACCATGATTTCAAGTAGCCGACAACCATGCTAAAGGGGAATGGAAGGCCGACGATTACGATTTGCAAACATGTAAATCATATAATGCAGACATTACGCAGGAACGATGTTGAGCTACGACAGTATTTGTTAGGTCGACAGCAACGATTCTGTTTTCCTATTACCTTGACGCTGATTATTGTAAGCAACGATTGTGAGAGGAGGCGATTCACCAGATGCAGGGAAGTTCATGTAGTTGAAAACTTCTTTTCGCGCAACCAAAACGGGTAGTCTGGTACGTACTTGCCTCGAACCGCTGACGTGGGGTGCCGGAGGATTTTAGACGCTGGGCTTGCTTCCAAACAGAAACCAGGGGCTGTGTGTGGCCAAGCCTTCCCCAGCCAAGTACCAGAAACGACACCTCATTTGTCGACCATCTCGAGGCGCGCAGATTCCCGCAATTTTGCTCCTGAGATGAAGGTTTGATTTGGCCGCATCTGGCCGTGCCGGACCTACGACAGCGTCTCGCCTGGCAACGACAGGCGGACAAGCATCACAGGAAGGTTGGCAGGCAACGCAATCTCGGTATCGCATCCATGCAAATCAGCGCCTGGAATAGCAGTAACCGTCCAAAACGACCAAAACAACCCAAAACGTTCCGCTATTTGAGTTGCGCCGCCCAATAAGCGACGTGTCCGTCTTGAGAGCCATGGTCTGCATGGCTGTAAGAGAGGGCGTACGACGACCGCGAAGCCATGACGTCGTGAAGCCATGAAGCCATGAAGCCATGAAGCTATGGGACCAGTCAAGGCCGAGGACGCCGGCGGCTAGAAGAGCCCCTTCATACTTCTGCAGTATGCGAAACGGTGACGGAAAACGGGGCCGATAATCTTGTTTTGGGAACGAGATGAGGTTGGCAGCTTGCTGCATGCTTCACAGCCTTGGGCCATTGTGGCCTTGGCCTGTTCAAGTCTGACATACCTGGTTGCCTCTTGTATCGCCACTTTGACCTCCAAGTCGAATCCCGTTTCACTCGGGGCCATTGAGGCCTTATCTGCCTTCATCTCGACAGTTTACTTCTCTCTGCCTCCCTCTTCGACGACGATATTCATTTTGGAGCAACAAGGCGACTGTTTCCCCGAAACACGGCACGGCCTTCTTTACACCATGCCCATCGCCTGCATTTGTACAGAGAGAATGCCATAAACGCCAAAAACATCCGCAGACAGATGCCAACCCAGGTACGCCTCTCCCAGGACTGGCGGAAGTTTTGGTCGTATGGCCAGATCTTCACAAGATGCCATTTCTGTCTCGTGATACGACCACACCGGTGTTGTTTTTCTCGATCTTGTCCTTTGTGGTCCCGGCAAGGCCCGCCGCCGCCAATGTCATCGACCTACCCAGCGAGATTGTCGCCTTTGTCCCATCATGTGCATCAGCCTGCTTCTCGACGTTTGTCAACAACAACTTTCCACTGGGAATCTGCGGCAAGGACCCGACGTTTCAATGTTTGTGTGAACACGCGGGGACCAACGGATTTACCGTGGGCGAGGGTGCGTTGGCCTGCATCGCGTCCGAGGACAGCACCGGACGCTGCACCGGCACCGATGTCTCATGTGAGTTAGGATACGCTTTATTGCTCTTAGCCGTCAACCTCCCCCTAACGTACGATATGCTTCAGTGACTGTGTCAAAGAAGGCATATTCTATGTGTTCTGGCCACAGCAGCGCGGCCCTAGAAACGCACGCAACCATCTTGGCCTCGCTGGTGATCCCGTCCCAGTCCACCAAAACTGTAACGACGACAGTCGTTGGAAATACGAAAGGGAGCACGGAAGGAAGCACCGCGAGTCACATAGCAACCCGAACTACCTCAAAGCCAACCGCCTCTACATCAACTCGAACGCCAACCACATTGACGAGCAGTGCTACTCTGTCCACAGAGTCTCGCTTGTTAACTGCCCCGCCCCGTTCAAGCACGGCCATGGTGACCTCGCCTCCTACAACAAGCAGTAAACCGGCATCGAAAACATCATCCGCGCAAACAAGTGCGACATCAGACCAGACGCAGCGAAGTAATGGTGTCAGAAGCCTGAGCGTTGCGCAGATTGTTGGAATATCTGTCGGAACGGCCACTGCACTTTTTTTTGCCATTGCACTATCCATCTATCTACGCTTTCTTCGCCGTCGTCGCCTAATGCTTGTTCCTCGATTGACTGGCGATGGCGGTGAGGGTGGTGGCCATGGAGGCGACGAAGAAGGACTTCAAAAACGGGTTCGGCCGGGAACGGGACACGAGCTCCAGATATCTGCTCCCGTGAACCTACAAGGACCGACGCACCCCTCGAACAGCACAGGTCCTTTGTGGCAAGAAAAGTACATGAATAGCCGGACAGCGCCGCGGGATACGCAGAATAACCAGGACGCAGAGAACCGCCCGAATCCTCCACCAAAAAGCCCTCCTCAAATACTTTTAACAAGGCCAACTCTGGAGAGATCGGTCAATGATGCATCTCGGGTGCCAGTTGCGAGGTACAATCGAAATCTAACACCAGGGACGATCAACGGCCAAGTGAAAAATAGGCCACCCAAGGACAATCAGGATCCCGTTCAGACTACAAAAAATATATCTCCGACACAAAGCAGCGTTCCCCCATCCCTTCTCATACGTCCACCTCCACAAAACATTGCCCCTGATAGACATTTTCCAGAGGAGCCGGTAGCCACTATATCCCGCCCTGTGCCATATCCATCATATTACGGAATCCCGCCGGACGAAGACCATCTGTACAGTGGCTATCCCCAACAGAAAAAATACACAGAGAAAACGTCACTATCGACGCGACTCGTGGAGGCCCAGCCAGTTCAACCGGAACGCAACTTGCCTTCCGTATTTCAGCCGCCATTGACAAGTCGGGACAGTATTGTGACTGAATTTGCCGAGGACGGTGAAGACAACCTCTCACCAAGAGCGACAGACGATGGACTATATCCATCTCGTCGATTCACTTCGAGGCAAGATTTGTCTCATACGCCACCGGACGCACAGCATGGTGGCTATTCCGCCCCAATAAGCACTTATCAAGAACCTCACCTGAGCCCTCAACCATCACGCCAGCCATTGCCGCAATTCCAAATACAGCCCCATCACCAACCTCAACTCCGACCTCAACCCCCACCCCGGACCCCATCACCAAGGGCCCAAGGTGACGATCTGGCCCGCGGGGTCCAGCCGCCATATATGTCTCCGTCTCTTGTGCCTCGACCTCTCGATGTTGGAACACACAATCCCGGAAGGAATACCGGAAGGTCTGGGCCAACCCTGGATATGCCGGTCGGAGCAGGCAGCAACGTCTCGCGGATGGCCAAAATGCGGCTGGGCGATGAGCGTGCACTTGGTCTACGGCTGGTGGGTGATGGACGGCCGCAGCGTCCACGGCAAAATGCCGGCTGGAGACGGATGGACGACAACTTTGGAGAGTATTAAATGGCAGCGGTTGTCCCAGACCTGTATCTTATCCCTTTGTCCTCATAAACTCTTTTGATGTTTTCTTTTCTATTTTTGATCTTCTCTTTCTTCTCTCTTCGCACTACCGCACACTTCTTATGTACTTTAGTCTATTAGATATTGATATCTATCGTGGATGCCATAAAATAATGTTTCCTACTCACTCTGCTTTCAGGCCTTCTCCCTTATGGCCAGTCGCAGCTATTTGCGAGTAGTGCTGCGAGCTTCTCGAGGTAGGCCTGGTCGACTTCGTCGAAACCGTTGAGCACGGCACAGTCAATGTCGATGATGCCCACCAATTTACGTGACTCGTTGCTGCCCACGACAATCGGCACCACAATCTCACTGCGGCTTTCACTGTCGCAAGCGATATGGCCGGGGAATGCCTCGACGTCTTTAACCAGCACGGTCTTCTTCTCGGCGGCCGAGGTGCCGCAAACACCGCGACCCAGAGCGATGGTCTGGCAGGCAACCTTGCCGTGGAAGGGGCCCAGAATCAGCTCGTCCCGTTCCTTGCGTGCGGTATCGATCAGATAGAAGCCGGACCAGTTGACCTGGTTACTGGGCCCACCTAAAGACTTGAACGCATGCCATAGCAGCGACGCAGTATTGGCCAAATTGCTGTGTGTCTCTGTCAGTAGAGTTCGTGATGATAGTTAGTGTTCAAGATACATGGTGATGCCCTACCAGACCTATTGAGATTAAACTGTCAGTGGCGCTGCATCCAGTAAGACAAGAAGAGGTTGAACCTACCCAGTTGCGTTGGCCGTCAAACAGACCTTCAGCCTGAAGCAAGACCTGCTCATAGGCCTCCTCTTTGCTGAGGCCGTCGTCGAAGTTGGACGCGTCGGCGTGGCGCTGTTCGGTTAGTAAAAATACTGATACAACGGCCTTGAGATGCTGGGTGCTGGTCCGTACCACCATCTTGAAATGCGTTGTTGTGTTGGGTTTGAAGATATCGTGACAAATCTGAATCGGCTTCACACGGGTTAATGCGCAATTCGGTTGACAAAGTATTTTCCCCCTGCTGTAACTTTGTGTGGGAAATGACGTGCCCAATAGGTTCCGCTGTCTCCCCACTCCCATGCCGTTCGGAGCCCGCTAACAGCACCGTCGGACCCTGGCAAGGCCAGGCCTTCGTCCTTCCAGCGCCTTCCCGGATCGGTTCAAGCCCACATGAGACGCAAATTAGTGGAGGCTTTAAAGCTACCGTAGCTCCTGCAGACACTGTAAGATAACCTCTGCCTCAACAGCTCTTGCCCCAAAACAAAAGACGAAACTATGACGCAGGTGACGGCAGGTGGTCAAGTTCTAAACGAAAACACACCGAGGAAGCCGCCAGCTGGTTTCGCAGCATCGCCTCACAGTTCAAACAAAATCCACCAGATGCGATGCAACCACTTTGTTCCTCCAAAGTCTGAATGATTAACACTCCTGCGACACTGCAATTGGCACTCAATCTCCCAAAATGTCGCTAGGAAGCGACTCCGTCAACGACCACGATGACTACGGCCCGAATGCACGACTTCTGGACAGGGAACCTTGGCGGGCTTCTCTAGAAGAGCACGATCGTCAAATGGAAAAGACACGTCGAGATGAGGGAGATGGAGACCAGCAGCCAAGCTCTTCTATCTCGCCTTCAGCACTGGCGATTTCCAGACGTCGTCGGCTGCTGGCTGTTATGGTAGCCGTCTTGATGCTGCTTGGGCTCTCTGTTTTTGCCTTCCAGCCTCTGAAGCTCTCGTCCTTGGCCTGGCTAGAATGGACAAACCACTGGATAGGCTCGTGCACCACTGCAAACAGACCCGTGACGAACGACGTGAGCTCCGATGTGGGTGATCTCTTCTTGCTAGGAGTCGGCAAGGCTGACATCACCGGCCCCGTCGTCGAGATCAACCTGATGGGATATGCTGATCCCAAGCAAGTAGGTACTGGTCTTCGACAGCGGCTCTATTCGCGCGCATTCATTATCGGTGACGCCGATCCGGAGCGTGCGGCCGACCGATTCGTCTACCTGGTTCTTGATACACAGTCGGGCGACACTGCTGTCCGCTACGGCATTATCAACAGCCTTCGCAAGCTCGGCACCGAGTATGCTGCGCTCTATGGCCACCACAATATCGCCGTTACAGGCACGCACTCACACTCGGGCCCCGGTGGATGGCTTAACTACCTGCTGCCGCAGATTACCAGCAAGGGCTTTGACCGCCAAGGCTTCGATGCCATTGTCGACGGGGCCACGCGGTCGATCCAACGTGCCCACGAGGGCCTTCAACCGGGGTATCTGAGTACATCCTCGGCCAAGGTCAAGGATGGCAATATCAACCGCAGTCACTTTGCCTACATGTCCAACCCAGAAGACGAGCGTGCGCGATACAACAAATCTGGTACTGCGGACAAAGATGACGGATCCGTTGACAAGGATTTGACACTGGTCCGCTTCCAGCGTGCCTCGGACAAAAAGGATATTGGCGTGCTGACCTGGTTCCCGACGCACGGCACGTCCATGCTGGGCAACAACACTCTCGTCTCCGGCGACAACAAGGGCGTTGCTGCCTACTTGTTTGAGAATGGCGTGCGCGATGCCGGCAAGGCTGCAAGTGACCATCAATTCGTCGCTGGCTTTTCTCAGGCCAATGTCGGCGACACAAGTCCCAACGTCCTGGGCGCCTGGTGCGAAGACGACTCCGGTTTGCCATGTAGCTACGAAAACAGCACCTGCAGCAACGGCAAAGCCCAGTCCTGCCATGCCCGCGGCCCCTTCTTCCGTGAGGATAACACGGGTACTGCCTCATGTTTCGAAATCGGCCGCCGCCAGTTTGAGGCGGCCTGGACGGCATACCGGTCATCCACAGCGCAACCTATTCGCGGGTCTTGGGTCAAGTCGTTCCATACCTTCCACAACATGGCCGACTTCACTTTCACGCTACCCAACGGTACAACTGCACAGACGTGTCCCGCGGCACTTGGTTACTCCTTTGCGGCGGGCACCTCTGACGGTCCTGGCGCCGTGAACTTTACCCAGCACGACTCAGACCCCTCCAACACGTCGCCGATCTGGCGTGCCGTCTCGCGCTTTCTCAAGAACCCGTCAAAAGAACAAAGGGCGTGCCATGGCGCCAAACCAATTTTATTGGACGTTGGTGAGCTTAGCAGGCCTTATCGATGGACGCCCAATGTGGTGGATATTCAAGTATTGCGTGCCGGCAACCTTGTCATCGTGGTTAGCCCTGGAGAAGCAACAACCATGGCCGGCCGACGCTGGAAAGAGGCCGTCGCTGCTGCGTACCCTACACTGGACGATGGGCCTTCTAGAGACCAAGAAGCTGTGGCGTCTACCTCCCCGGTCGTGGTCTTGGGTGGCCCTGCCAACAGCTATACACACTATATCACAACCGAAGAAGAATATGCCATCCAACGATATGAGGGCGCTTCGACGCTCTATGGTCCTCATACGCTGGCTGCATACATCAACGTGACGCTCGAACACCTGTCCTATCTGGCGGCCTCGATACGACCCGGGGATCTGCCACCACTCGACGACGACCTTGATTCGTTTCCGCCCGACAACAGCAACCGCTCACTGTCGTTTATCACCGGTGTGATTCGGGACGGGCCGTCACTATTCAAGAAGTTTGGCGATGTCACAAAGGATGTCGATGCAACCTACCGCCGGGGTTCCTGGGTCGCCGCAACATTTGTTGGCGCCAACCCACGGAACAACCTGCGGCTGGAGCAAACATTTGCAGCCGTCGAGAGGCAACTCGAAGCCGGAGGTGCCTGGATCACTGTGCGGGACGATCGGGACTGGTCGCTGGTCTACCGCTGGCGGCGTATTAGCGAACTGATGGCTACAAGCGAGGTCGAACTAGTCTGGGAGACGGAGGACTGGGCCACTCCTGGCACCTACCGTCTCCACTACTACGGCGACTCGAAGTCGCTCGGTGGTACTGTGACACCGTTTGAGGGCGTGTCTGGGCCGTTTGTACTGGAGTAAAAATTGGTTCCTGGTTGTCTTGTTTATGTTGTGATTTTGTTATCATGGATATCGGGCTCATCTTTAGGTTGGTTTATTATTATTGTCTGTTTTATTTGACTGTTTTGTGTTCTATTATCGTCCTCAAGCTCATTTTTCATTAAAAATTGCCCATATGTTAAAAAAAAAGTTTTATCCCTTGTATTTTTCCATACAATTTTAATTTTGCGGTACACTACTTTTCAGTATAAGATGTTCAATTTACGTGCTTGTAGAGTCTGTTGTAATGCCACGTCTGATAATAGGCTATACAGTGCGAAATATTGAATATTGCCAAGGATCATACATACACACAGTGTATATACACTGTAACTGGCGCCGATAGGACAAGTGGGCTGGCGAGGAAAGCCAGATCTACTAACGAATGTACGAAGTAGACCTCCTGAAATGCCACGAAAAATAGCTACTAGCATCACCTCACTCGACGACGATACCCGCGCGACAATTTTCCCATCGAACCCCCGCGCGTACCGACCGAAGGTCCCTAACCGAACCCTCTAAAGTCGAAATAGAACACATATCCCACCGAAATGGATCCCTACTCGGCGGAAGGTGAGCTGATCAACATCCACAACCACTTCCATCAGGGCCAGTTCCAGGAGGTGGCCGACTACAGCACCGAGTCATTGTCTCCCGAGAATGAGTTGGCTGCACGTGTTCTGCAGCTGCGGGCACGCGTAGAGCTGGGTGAGGCCAAGGCTGTGCTCGCTGATGTGAAGAATGCGTCTGAACCGGCCCTGCAGGCCGTCGGCGCACTGGCCGAGCAGCGTTCAGGCCGCTCCGACGGGGCTGTTGCCACAATCACCAAGCTGGCCGAGACAGCCGGCGATGATTCTACAGTCCAGATTGTCGGCGGCACTGTACTTCAGGCGGCTGGCAAGTCGGAAGAAGCCCTTGCCCTTCTCTCCCAGCACGATAGCAACCGTACGTATTCTTTCTTTTCGCTATTGGCAAGCCCTCATTGTACCCGCCGATCTGACGACCGACTAACGTCATGTAATAACAGTTGACGCTGTTGCACTGATTGTGCAGATTCATCTGCAGCAGAACCGCAACGACCTGGCCCTCAAAGAAGTCGTCGCTGCCCGGAGGTGGGCGCAGGACTCGCTGCTCGTCAACCTTGCTGAGTCATGGGTCGGCCTGCGCCTCGGCGGCGAACGTTACCAGCAGGCCTTTTACGTCTTCGAAGAACTGGCCCAGGCACCGGCCTCCTCGTCGGCCCGTACACTCGTGGCCCAGGCCGTATCTGAACTGCACCTTGGTCGCACAGAGGAGGCACAGGCGGCACTGGAGCAGGCGGTGAAGGCCGCCCCTGAATCCGCCGATGCCGTTGCTAACCTTCTTGTTCTCGCTGTCCTGACTGGCAAGGACACGACCGAGACGACCAGCAACCTCCAGAACATCAACGCGCAGCATCCCCTGCTGGCCGACCTGGAGCAGAAAAGCAGTCTGTTCGACAAGGCCGCGATGAAGTACCAGGCCAAGGTGTCCGCATAAGATCGGTGGGCTTTGTAGATGCAGGAACACGCAAACTAGTTACACGAAAGCAGCTTCGAGGGTAATGATACAGGACCATACGCGTGGATAAACACCAAACGAGGGACTGTGCAACGACGGCAACACAAGGATGGATGCAAAGGAAATACCACAGAAGACAAGTGGGCACGGATAGGGTAGCAAATGAAGCAATGTTATCAACGTGAACACGGCTTGAGAGGTTCACGCGTCTAATTTTATTTTGCTATCGAAACAGCATATCCATACATTTGAACGGAACACATACCTCCTCCAGGCAGTAGTGCACCATTCATCTTTCTGTCCATGGCCATGCATCTTACTCATCCTTCAGCGTGATCTTGTCGTCCCCAACTGCGTTACGAGCTGAGACATGCTGTTATTTGGGGCGACAAGTGACTTGCACTTATTTCGTGTCCTCTATTGGTGTTGGCGTGTGGCCAACGTCTTGCTTCGTTTTTGCGTGACCTAAATTGGTCTGGCCAGCCGGCCCTTTTAGAGCCTACCTAAAGAGTCCCCAGGTTGGAGTTCGTATGGATTTTGGGCCTAAGCCAGGCGATAGTAGCAAAAGGGTTTCTTCAGCCCCTCCATTTCGTGTCGTTGCCGCTTTCTCATACGTCGCTTCCCCAACGCAGATTACGTTGTTAGTATATGCCACTGCTGCGGAAGGCACGGTTAACACCATCTTTTTCGGGCCTACTGATCATGGAGCCAGACAATTGGCCTTCGCAACCACATCTTAGCTTTGCTCCACGACCCCATTCATTGTTTCTTGTTTTACCCCATGCTTGCCGTGATTTGCCTTGGATCGATGCTGGATGGTTGTGTCCCGCAGGTGCCGGTTCTTTCATTTCTGCGGCCATCTACAGCCAAGACCGGTTTGAAAGGTTTCAGTTGCTTCTTCCGGCCGGTTTTCAGACACCATCTTGCACGCCTGAGCTCTATGTACAGAGTAATATCTGAATCGCCTGCTTTGTACCTTCCACTTGACAACTCATCCTGCTACATCATTCAGGTTACACGCACACGTTTGGCTCGCACAGCTCGCCGTATTCCACTCGCCACTCGATCCCCCCCGCTCTGGCCAATTCAGCCGCTCCTTCCGTACTGCAATGGTGTGTATATCACTTTGTTCATCGCCCCGTTGATTCCTCTTTCCTCGCCGAGCTCCGTATTTGTTTCACAAGGCGCGGTTTGCTCCTTCCACTTTTGGGAGGCCCGGCGTGTTTGTCCTGTTCCTCTAGCCCCATTCCAAATGTCAAATTGCGTGCCTGCCCTGGCCTAGCTGTCCCGCTCCTGCACTTGTCGTACGTTGTATACTTCGCACTTACCATATAAGTATGACGTTGCCGCTGATCCCGATGTAGCCCCCCCAGTCTTTTCCTTACGGCCCAGTGCTTGTTCATGTGTATTGTGTCAACAGCTTCCAAACAATCCTATCTACGGCGCATCAACGAAGTATTTTCGGACCTCTTCTCCGTCGTCCGTTTACCACGAACTGCTGCGCGACTCGCTCGACAAAACAAGGTCTGCCTTGTCCACACCCTGCCAAAACGCCTCCTGGCATTTCTCAAGGCAGAGCGACAAAAGGACGCACAGCAGCTCTCCTCAATTGGCACTTCGATTCCTTGCGCTGCTCCTCGATCTCTCGTCCTCTTAACCCTCAATTTTTCACTTCTTCTTTCTTCAACTGGAGCTCGATCGTTACCTTTTAAGCTCCAGCACCGTCATATTCACATTCTGTCTTCCAGAACCAAGCTTCGTGACGGACCCCAACGAACGGATTGAATTGAAAGAGCTTCTACGTCTTTCACCGCCGTGCGTCGTGGTGCTCCTGTCTTTCAGCCTCTCTAACCCCGCAGACCCACCCAGATTCCTTGTCCTGGCTGCTTCTGTTCCCCTCGATTCTGGACCGCACTGCTTCTTGTTTCTATTGCTCATCTTGTCCTGTACCCAACCATTAACCTTCTGTGTGGCTCGCTGCGCAAGCCGGAGCCATTGAGCAAGCTTCGCCATGGTGCGCATCATCCCCAACCGCCTCAAGCCCTCGTCAGGCAATTCGACCACCAGCTCGACTGCCAACAGCCGTAGTGCCAGCCCTCAGCGTGGCGGCAAAGGCGACCCGGCTTTCAACCGAGACACGGGCCTGCATGTTCATGTGGTCATCATCAAGGCCCGCAATCTGGCCGCAAAAGACCGGGGAGGCACATCGGACCCAGTACGTTTCACCGCGCTCATAAAATGCTCATGTTGACTCGTCAACTAACATTCTGACTGTCTAGTACCTCGTCCTCTCGCTAGGCGATGCGAAACATGCCACGCATTCGGTGTCCAAGACCCTTAACCCAGAATGGAACGAGATCTGCCAGCTGCCCGTCAACGGCGTCTCCAGCCTGATCCTCGACGTTTGTTGCTGGGACAAGGACCGCTTTGGAAAGGATTATCTAGGCGAATTCGACCTGGCCCTAGAGGAGATATTCGTCAACGACAAGACTGAGCAAGAGCCTCGCTGGTACCCTCTCAAGAGTAAGCGACCAGGTCGTAAGACGGGCGTGGTCTCAGGCGAGGTCCTCTTGCAATTCACGCTCTTTGATATCACGGACCGATCTGCCTCTAGCCAGCAGGTCATGGAGAAATTCAATTCTTTTGTGCGCGCGACAACCCCCGACCCAGAGGATGTCCCCCCGCGGGCACAACCCCGCGTTCCCGGCCTTGGACTACCCAAGTTGGGTGCGCGACGCGGATCTTCCAACCCAGCCCCGACATCTACCCCTGCCCTCACCCAGAAAACTAGCAATACCGACGACTATGAAGACGAGGACGCGTACGACGACGAGCCCGCATTGGAGGACGAAGATCCGTCCAAGCCAGAGACGGTAGAAAAGCGGAAGCGCCGGCTACGAATTAAAGGACTCAAGAAAAAGCGACGCGAGAACCCCTACGAATTCATCAACGGTGGCGGTGACGTCCTGGGAATTGTCTTCCTTGAGATCAAGAATATCACCGACCTGCCACCTGAGTCTAATTTAATCAAGACCACATTTGACATGGATCCGTTTGTTGTCACGTCGCTTGGCCGCAAGACTTTCCGTACAAAGACCATCAACCACAACCTCAACCCGGTCTTTAACGAGAAGATGATCTACCAAGTCTTGGCCCACGAGCAAACCTACTCCTTCTCCTTCACCGTCATTGACCGCGACAAGTACTCAGGGAACGACTTCATCGCATCTGCATCGTTGCCGCTCAAAGAGTTCATTGACCGCGCTCCCAAGGCCGACCCCGAGACCGGGCTATACGACCTCCGCGAGCCGCCCGAGTATGTCCCACTTGCCCAGCGTGGACGCTTCAAGCGCCTCGGTCTGTCCCGATCGTCTTCGTCACAAAGCCTGACCAAAATGTCACGCCCAACCCCGACAAAGACTCCTTCCGCCTCTGCGATGAGCAGTGGAGCAACTGCACTCGAGTACCAGGCCCCCGAAGTTTCTGGCGTGTCTGACCCGTCGGGTCCGCAAGGCGACATCACAGACACGCCCCAGGTGACAACCCCGTCGGAAGTCGCTGTTTCTGACCCGATGGCGTCACCTGGCCTCACAAAGCAGATTAGCGGAGGCGGTTTACTGACCGCTGAAGGGAACACTTGTAGTGGCAGCTCACCGACATCATCAATGGGCGAGTCGGGTGCTGTAGACAGTGATGAACCAGGCTTCACAACATTCACACTACCACTAAAGATGAAGAACCTGGAAAAGTGGGAGGACAAGCACAACCCGCAACTGTTTATCCGGGCGAAGTACATGCCCTACCCGGCCCTGCGTCAGCAATTTTGGCGTGCCATGTTGAAGCAGTACGATACCGACGAGAGTGGCAAGATCAGCAAGGTGGAGCTGAGCACGATGCTTGATACACTTGGGTCGACGCTGCGGGAATCTACCATTGACAGCTTCTTCCAACGCTTTAAGAAGACACCTGGCAGTGGCAGCGGTAGCGACGATGATTGGGCCGATTTGACCATTGATGAGACTGTTATTTGCCTGGAGGATCAACTTGACGCGAAACCGAAGCCTCAGCAGTCGGTGTCAGTTACGGACAAAATCAAGGATGCGCTCCCTGACAGCGTCGTCGAGAAGGTCAAGCCCGCCGTGTCTCTTGCTATTTCAGGGCAGTCAGCAAACGTTCCCGAAGCCGACGCCCCCACGGCATCTTTGACAAGCGCGTCAGGTAGCCCAGAGATCCCTGCCCAGAATTCATATGATGCCGAGATGCTGGGCCGTGAGGACCTCGATGAACGTGGTGGCGAGGAGCATGTTGTGGAAATTCGTGAGTGCCCAATCTGCCACCAGCCGCGTCTCAACAAGCGCAAGGATACCGACATCATCACCCACATTGCCACCTGTGCGAGCCAAGACTGGCGGCAGGTGAACAACTTGGTCATGGGCGGGTTTGTCACCTCCAGCCAGGCACAGCGCAAGTGGTACTCCAAGGTGATCACGAAGATTTCGTACGGTGGTTACAAGATTGGAGCCAACTCGGCGAATATCCTTGTCCAGGACCGTATAACGGGCCAGATTAACGAGGAGAAGATGAGTGTGTACGTGCGCCTCGGCATTCGACTTCTTTACAAAGGCCTGCGATCGAACAACATGGAGAACAAGCGAAGTAAGTTGTACTGACGGGCCCACTCCCGCATCTTTTTTGTTTTTTTTTTTTTTTTTTTTTTTTTTTTTTTTTTTTTTTTTTTTTTAAAGTTGTATATTTATATTTGCTATGCACGTAAGCTGTATACTAACCCTGGCCTATGCAGTCCGCAAACTTCTCAAGGGCCTCAGCGTCAAGCAGGGACGGAAGTATGACGACCCTATCTCTAAACAAGAGATTCAAAAATTTATCAACTTTCACCAACTGGACATGTCGGAAGTCCTTCTTCCTCTAGACGAGTTTAAGACCTTCAATGAGTTCTTCTATCGGGCTCTGAAGCCGGACGCACGGCCCTGTTCGGCTCCAAACAACCCTCGTATTATTGTGTCCCCAGCAGACTGCCGATCTGTGGTGTTCAACCGCGTCGATGCGGCTACCAAAGTGTGGATCAAAGGTCGCGAGTTCTCTGTCAAACGCCTTTTGGGTGACGTGTCTGCAGAAGAGGCCAGTCGATACGAGAATGGCGCACTCGGTATCTTCCGGTTGGCACCGCAAGACTACCACCGCTTTCACATTCCCGTCGACGGCGTTCTGGGCAAGCCGAGATTGATTGCTGGCGAGTACTACACAGTCAACCCCATGGCGATCCGATCGGCTCTAGACGTGTACGGCGAGAACGTGCGCGTAGTTGTGCCGATTGAGAGCGAGACTCACGGGCGTGTGATGGTTGTCTGTGTGGGCGCGATGATGGTGGGTAGCACCGTGATTACTCGTAAAGAGGGCGAGCAAGTTAAGCGCGCGGAGGAGCTGGGCTATTTCAAGTTTGGCGGCAGCACACTGGTGCTGTTGTTTGAAGAGGGCCGCATGAAGTTTGACGACGACCTTGTGGAGAACTCGAGCGGTGCACTGGAGACGCTGATCCGGGTGGGCATGTCGGTAGGCCATTCTCCTAACGAGCCGCAGTGGGGACAGGATATGCCCAAGAACGAGACAGAGGTTACGGAGCAAGACAAGATCGAGGCCAAGCGCCGCATCCAGGGCAGCACTATGGCGGAGGATATTACACCCGAGGACAGTGGCGGGGACGATCTGCTGTCGTAAGAGATGGTGCTTTACTATTTCGACATACTTGCTTGCAGGTATTTGCATTGCTAGCTTCCTTTTTCATCTCGAACACATTACTTTTGAACACATTTATGTCCCTACAGCGCCGTTGCATCACCACAAACATCGGCTACGAACAGCGAGAATATGCTTCTTATGCATTGGCGAACGACAGCAGTTTGTCCAAGATCATTCTCTACAGTTTTTATTTTTATTTTATTTAAAAAGCTTTCAATTTACACGATGTTGACTGTTGACTAATGAACATGCATTGATACTACTGTACTGAACTATGGAATGGAATGGTATGTCATCGCTAGAAGAACCCAAACGCCGTATGAGATGGGAATCTCCAGGTAGTGAAGGAAAGCAAGCAAACGACACTATGGGACAGGCAATACAACTTAGAAAAGCGAGGTTAAATCCCGTCCCTCACACGTCACACATCCACCCCCTACTATCGCTCGTCGTGGCTGTTGGAACTTCGATCGCTGTCCATGGAACGTTTCTGAGGCGAAACTGAGCGTTGGGCATACAACTTATTGTAGCTGGGTAGGGCGGATGTGGATATGTGGTAAAAATGGTTGTCGTTTTTTGCGGCACCGGGTTGGCTGCCGTCGTAGGTGACGGTTGTGGAGGAGGAGGACAGGGAGGAAGAGGAGGAAGTGGAGGAGGAATCGTGTGTCTGGCGCCATGATGCGTAGATTTGCTTGCACAGATGTGCGGACATGGTGTAAGTGGGCGACATGGCGGCAGAGGTGGATAAAAGTGAAGCAACAGTAAGCTGTAGATTGCTTGCTTGGCTCTATGAAACTGGTGCCTTCTGTGGAGGACAGTCGATTCTTATTGTGTTTCGTTTTGTGACGTCTGTAAATCCAAGGCTGCCTTGTCGGTTCGGAAGCGAGGCCCGACGGGGTGCCGAAAGGGAGTGCGTGGGAGACGTGTTTTTCGTGTAAGACGAAGCTGGCGTGGAGAGGAAATGGTCGGGCAAACAAGAGATAAGAGGCAAGTCATGAGCTTGAAGAGAAAAAACAAAAAAAGAGGAAAGGAAGACAAAAGACGAATAGAAGAGGAAGAGGAGAAGATCGAGCAAATGAGGAGAAAACGAAAGACGCAGATTTAGCTCTGCGAGGACAGTAACAGACTGAAGTTCGTTTGCAAAACAAAACACACCAAAAGTAAAAAAAAATGACCAAGAAAAAGAAGGCGACCTGTGTCATACGGCGCAAAGTCCATTTACATCACCTACGCCAGTTTGCTCGTCATTGGGCAGTTGGCGATCTTATTGGCCATCGCCCCCACCTGGTGTCCTTTGGCCAGGTCCTGCCACTGGCCTGCTATTGCCTGCCACTGCTACAGGTCTGTCCAGTTGTATAGGGCATCGGCGTGTGCTGACAATTGCTTGGAAAACAGGCCAGGCCATGCTGCCATTCCGCTGCTGGAAACGCTAAACCAGGCGGAGCCCCACCTGCCGTCTCGCATGTTTAGGTGAAAGGTGGAACGACGATTGCACCGCCGCTGAGGTTAAATCGCGTGACTGCAAACCGATGGGGGGAAAGGTGCGAGCAGGCAAACGGCAGGAGCAGCGTTAGACCACGCAGGCACGCATTTTAATCCCCCTAAAACCCTTTCTCATAGTGCTGGGTGCAATTATGTGGTATCTTATGTTGTAACACAACTAGAATAATCTTCCGTCATTCAACCTCCAGGGGTGCTCCGCTAACGGCTGACCAGTACTCTTAGTACTCCGCGAGACGCGCGAAGGATGCGAGGGGGTTCACTAGCCAGCAAACAGACCTGGGCCAGGCCAGATTCGGGAGCCGGCCAACAGCAAACTTCCATACGATCCCACGCGCAAATTTCCCACGTAATGGCCAAATCTAGTGTACGAAATACTCTCCCGTACAACAATAGTAAAGGGTGGGTGGGCTCGGCTGGACATGACCGATGGCATGAGAAAGTGGGAGGAATGGGCGGAAAGCGCGAGTACGTCGACAAACAAACGGCCAAATGTGTGAAGTGGACTTTTTGTAATTACTTTGATTTTATTTTTCATTCTTTCTCTCACATTCAAATGTCTAACCGTTCTTGGGGCCAAAGAAGGACGTGATCCTCTGGCTGCCACTGCTTTTATCGTTTTGTGTCTTCTTGCTTGGTGTGCGAGCTGTTGCCTTGAATTTGCTGTTCCCTTTGCTTCCCATGGTATCCTGACGCTCTTTACCGCTGCTCGCCGTCACGGATACTGGTCGCGTGCCCATAGTGTTCTTCACGGGCGTCGTAGGTATTGGCGCTGTGGCAGGAGGAATCGCATCCTCCGTAGGAGCCACGACCTTTGCTCTCTTCACCGGCTGCTCGGCATCAACCTCTCCGCCTTCTGCCTCTCGCTTCGTTTGCTTTTCTTCCTTCGACGCCATCCCTCCTCGGAAGAAATTGGCAATATTTGCCTTGTTGCTCTCGCTGGCCACCGGCACGATGAAGCTTGGCGAGCTGTGCCCGGCTTTATTGACGTCCTTGCTCACTACGTCCACGATTAGAGCCGCGTCGTCGTCTTCCGCCATTCGGGGCCACGGCCGGAGCAGCGTCTGCAGCTCGTTCGACCACGCGTCGCGCGTCGGGTCCAGCCACATCTGCAGCTCGCGTGACTGGTAGTCGAACACAACAGGCATGCGGTCGTGCAAAAACCGCAGCGACTTGTTAGAGTCCGTCGTGATGATTGTGTATGAATACGTCTTCGTTCCGGTGCCGTTTTTACCGCCCTCGCCGTCCTCAAACACTACACTGTCCCACAGCCCGGCCAGCAGGAGCGGCAGTCCATCTCGCCTCCGGATGTAGTGTGGCACGCGCTCTTTGGGTCCCGTTTTGAGCCATTCGTAGAAGCCCTGCGCCACGACAATGCACCGCTTGCGTCCGCGCAGCGACGCCCACATGCCCGTACCGGCTGCGAGCGAGTCGGCGCGGCAGTTGATTGTCTTGAGCATGGTCGAGTAGTCTGGACGTTTCTTCATCCAGAATGGCACAAGGCCCCACTTCATGACCTGTAGCTGGAGATGTACTTCGGCCTTCCGCTCGCCAACCTTGACTTTGTTGGTCGGTGTGCTTGGCTTGTCGGATTGCTTCCCAGGGAAGACAGGCCGGAGGATGATACCGTGGTAGCCCGGCGCAAAGTTGTACGAAGGTTGGAATATGGCATCGCCTCCATTGGAAGAATCCGCATCTCCCAATACCTCTGTATCGTGCGCGAGGTCATTTCCCTCAGCATTTTGGTGGTCCTGCTGCGCGTCATCGGAATCGTTCTGTCCCCACCCTCCGTGCTGGTCGTGGAAGTCGTCGGCAGGCAGGCCGTGCTCCAGCAAGACGTCGTGCACCTGGCCATAGCGCTGGGAATGTTAGCACGACAACGCACTGGATACTGGCACACATTGAAGCTTGAGAAGAACCGGCCGAAGCATTCCATCAACTGTCAACATACCAGAGCTAGAACATATCGGCCACACATTGTCGTCACCTTGGTCTCTTACGTTGCCTATGTGTTGTGATTCCGGAAGCAATCTTTGTGTTCACTATTCTTCCGTGCGCACTTGCGCCGAGCTTCAAGCGATGACGCGCCTGCTTGAATACGCTAATAAGGCAAGGAGCACATAACCCTGTGTGGATGACTAATCAACACCGAATGTGAACATAAGTGTTTTTTTTGCCCCTTTGTTAATTTTGTATGGCTTTGGTTATTTGTTCCTCGTAAAGTATGTATTTCATTTTTGTTGAAAACGGCAACTTGAAATATGCGCGTTTTGGCATAAACGACAATGATTTAAGTGAAAGCGAAAGATGCAGAACTGCGTCCAGTCCCAACAATGATAATCGCAGGCACGGTAGCTCGATTTAGGCCGAGAAGAATGGATGTGGACCTGTATTTTTATCAGAATGAACACCAGAAAGTTATTATACGGAGACAGTTGAATCTTATCTGTGAAGATGTACTTACCTGTCATGCCATAGGTGCTAATCAAGAGGCCTTGGTCGGAAGACGTGTAGATGCTGGGGATGCTGTACGTCGTGGGATTTCTTTTCTACTGACCCATGATTTAGGCCACATTCCATGTACAGCTGGATGCCGTTGACTGATCGAACCACGTGGAGAGCGATTATTTACTCCCACAAGAGATATCTGCCATTTTCTGCGCAGGTGGAGATGGCAGCGACTCGCATCCTAGCGTTGTTAATGACGATATTTGTACCGCAGACACTGTCACTGTAACCCTGCACCATGATTTTAAAACCGGACAACATTAGAGTCAGTACTGATCCTTCCTTTATATGTCTCTCCTATTTCTCCTTTTGTTTCCCTTCCTTTTCATCTCCCATTTCTCGGGTATTCATCTACCATCTGGCGCTCACAACAGAGTCTTTGGTGGCGTCAGACACCGCCTTCATGTAAGCCACAACAGGACCATGTGATGTCAGCGAAACATAAATTGGTTGAATTGAGATCCAATACAGACTTACTTTATTTCGTTTACTCAGGCTACTTCCTTCTTTTTATCTATTTCTTCCAATTCTGTTGATCTGTACTGTTGTTGACGATCGACGGACTAGAAAGCTGGAGTAGACTTTGTCGTTCTTTATTTTGATGCTGATCGGCTGTTGCCATTATGCATTCCTGCCTCTCTGCTGCTCTTTCCATCTCGAGCCGTGAGTTCAAAGGGGAAAGAGTAACTATCGGGTATCTCCACAGAAATACTAATGTCAACAAAACACCGAATAACATTGGCCGATTAACGATAGTCTTATCGTAGGACTCTGCGAAAGAAAATGTTTTTCTCAGATATCTAGAGTTACGCTCAACTCAACCCCCCCCCCCCCCCCGTTTATTTTATTTCCATGTGCTTGTGCATTTGTCACCATTATACAGAGAAACGGATGTAACTGCAGTAACAGTAACGGCAACAACGGCGACAAGAAAATGTTGCGTTTGACCGCCACAGCCGCTTGGCGTCTGCACCTGACTTGACATTTGGCCCGACGGACCGTCCTCATACATACGAAAGGGATTCTGAACGAGTTAAACGGGCGTAAAATAAGTTTCTGTAAAACCACCAAGGCCGCCGCATGCCTCGATGGACAGTGACATGGTTTATTGCCGAGGAGTCCCTTTAGCCAAAGTACGTCTAAGTGGCTACTCCATTTCATACACTTCTTTCGCCCTCCGTGCCTTCGAAGGCGCTTTCGAGACCAAAATGCTGCTGTGATTGTGTGTTGATGAGTCATATTACCTTATTTTACGATAACGGGCCAAGGCGGGATCTGTGGCTACTTTTAATCATCGAGATCATTTTATGCCGCTAAGATGCACCGTGGTACCGATATTAGGGGGCAGATGATATTTATCCAGGCCCCAATGTAACCCTTTCTTAATTATAGGTATATAATATATCAATGACGCTGTGTTCCAGATGCTTTAAGTTGATGTTTTCCTTTGTTCAGCCGGCCTGCTAAATCGGATATCCATCCCGTCGGGGCAGATCCTTGTCTATATACTGCCTGTGAAGACCGACATACGTAAGAACGAACCGAAGGAGCGCAGTATTAGAAAACAATGTGTGCGAAAGCGGCCAGGAATTGGAACAAGCCGACAAGCTTTGGATCCGATCCAACAGGCCGGCAGTCGTGTATATTGTTATCAGGATAATCTGCTTGACAACGAGTCGCGAGGAGCTGCTCATAGTTGATTGTTGCTCCATGGAGCTGCACTGGTATGGTCAGTGTATTTCTCATGAGGTCCACGTTCGTTATATACACACTCTAGCTTATTGTAGCTGCCAAAGGACACATGCTTCCGACATATATACCGAGCTGGCTTTCTCGGTCTTTGCCTAAAACCTCCGCTCGCAGTCTACCACACACCCTCTACCGTCTATACTTATCTAAAATACCACCATTATCAATTTCGCACGTGTGGACCATCATTTGGGCTCAACAGTACCACTAGAACGGTCGTCAATATGGGCCAGCTCAATCAAGCTCTCCGCACTTTCCCCGGAACCGCGGAGACTGAATCCATGGCGAGCCACACAAATGGAGAGATTAGACAGGGAGGATGAGTGGTGGAAAATAAGCTCTGCCGCCTGCCAAAACAGCGGACAATGTCTGATAATTCAGAGGCCGATTGTTATTCATAAGTAGGCAGGACCTTCCAGTGCTTCCAATTTTGTCTTTGACCTCTGATGTTCGCTTTGTAGCTCGAGTCACACCCTTCGAGCAAATTTTTGCTCGCCCGATCTTGTCTTTCGTTCGTTTAGTCGTCATGGGCCTCATCACGCGCATTGCAACCGCCCTTGTTGCATACTCCTCGCTCTGGGTCCAACCATGCTTGGCCCAGGATTCGACTATTGTCAGCAAGTACAAAGATGATTCGACCAATATCACCTTTGGTATGTATGGCATCGATGCCATTGTCGATGCCAGCACCGGAGAGGTAGCCCAAGGGTTTTACAACTTTGGCATTGTCTTGCCTGACAATGCTCTGAAAAAGGATGCCAATGAATACATTGGAATTTTGGTAGGCCAACAGCCCAATACTATTAACAGTTACCTTTTTAATTTCACTTTCGTACTTCATCAAAGCCTTTTCATTTCCTTCGCTCTAAATTTGATCTTCACCATAGTGACTAACGTACCGCTTCTTCAGAGGTGTCAAAGCACAAACACATCGCTCACCGGCTGGTGTGGCATCTCACATGGCGACAAGGGCCAGATGACAAACTCCCTGCTGCTGGTGGCGTGGCCTTGGAACGGCCAAGTCATGACGACGTTCCGCTACGCAACGAAATGGACGATGCCCACGGAGTACACCGGCGATGCGAAGCTGACGCAGATCTCATCGTTTGTCAATGAGACCATGTTCGAGGTCATCTACCGGTGCCAGAACTGTTTCTCCTGGAAAACAACCGAAGCCACAACGCAGACTGTTAACACCACCTCTGGAACGCTTCTGTTCGGACGAGCACTGGCCGTGAGGGGCCCGGATGCGGCGAGCTGCCCGAGCAAGATGACGTTTGGATTCCACGACTCGGGGTACAGCCAGTACGGCGTTGATCTGACCAACGCCATTCACCCCTCGTACGCCTCATGGGCTGCAATGGCTACCCATGTCGTTTCCACCGACTGTGTCAACATCCCTGCTGCCACACCCACCCCGGAGCCAACATCATCTGGCACAGCATCGGCATCTGTTTCTGAGTCTGCCTCGGCCTCGTCGTCTGCTTCTGTTCCGGCTGCGACAACCGCAGTGCCGGCACCAACGCCGATCCCAATCGTGCCATGTAAACCAGCTCCGAACAAGACGTACGACTACATTATCGTCGGTGCTGGCGCTGCTGGTATTCCCCTGGCCGACCGCCTGTCGCAGGTTGGTAAATCCGTACTGCTGATCGAGAAAGGTCCGCCGTCGTCTGGTCGCTGGGGAGGCGTCATGCGCCCTGACTGGCTGAACAACACCAACCTGACGCGCTTTGACGTGCCCGGCTTGTGCAACCAAATTTGGGTCGACTCGGTTGGTGTTGCGTGCACAGATACGGAGCAGATGGAGGGCTGTGTGCTTGGAGGTGGTACGGCGGTCAACGCCGGCTTGTGGTGGCGTGCAAATCCTCTTGACTGGGACTACAACTTCCCCGATGGCTGGCGCAGCAAGGACATGGCAGGCGCTACGAGCCGTGTCTTCCAACGGATACCAGGCACGATTGCCCCGTCGATGGACGGTAAGCTCTATATGCACCAAGGCTTCGATGTTATTGCGTCGGGCCTAAATGCGTCGGGCTGGAACTACGTCATCCCCAACGACCATCCGGACCAGAAGAACCGCACATACGGTCACACCACGTATATGTTTTCCGGCGGAGAGCGCAGTGGCCCGATGGGTACGTATCTTGTCAGTGCTTCGCAGCGTGCCAACTTCAACCTGTGGATGAACACACCTGTGCGCCGCCTTATTCGCGACGGCGGCCACATTACTGGCGTGGAGCTCGAATGCACGTCCGACGGATACTCTGGCAATGTCTACGTGACGCCCAACACGGGCCGTGTCATCTCCTCGGCAGGTACCTTTGCATCTGCTAAGCTGCTTCTGCGCAGCGGTATTGGCCCGTCTGACCAGCTCTCTGTCGTCAAAAATTCGCCTGACGGCCCGACCATGATCAACGCAACCTCCTGGATCGATCTTCCGGTTGGCTACAACTTGAACGACCACGTTAACGTAAGTCGTTGTCTTTCTCTCTCGGGTGTCCACGAGGATAATGGGGATAAACATGCGCACGGATGTGTATACTGACTTTATTAGACTGACACGGAGATCTCGCACCCTGATGTGGTCTTCTACGATTTTTACGAAGCCTGGACCAAGCCCATCGTGTCAGATGAAGACAGCTACCTCAGTACGTAATACCCTCCAACTCTACGGATAGCACACGTTGATCTAACGGCATTGAAGAGAACCGCACGGGCATTCTTGCGCAGTCAGCACCCAATATTGGTCCCATGGTAGGTTCATATAAGTGCTTTTTTGTGACCGGACATGCCACATAATCAGCATGCATCTAACTTTTGGAATCCACATAGTTCTGGGAGGCCATCAAGGGCGACGACGGCATTGTCCGCCAGCTGCAGTGGACGTCCCGTGTGGAGGGATCCACTAACACATCCATGATCATGAGCCAGTACCTTGGTCGTGGCTCAGTGTCCCGTGGCCGCATGGTCATCACTCGTCGCCTGACCACGTTTGTTTCAGTCCCGCCGTATCTGCACGACGATCTGGACAAGGACGTCGTCATCAAGGGCATCCAGAACCTGCAGGCTGCGCTTAAGAATGTGCCCAACATCACTTGGATCACACCGGCGCCGAACCAGACCGTTGCGGAATACGTCAACTCGCTCCCCAACACGCCGGCCAAGCGTCGCGCAAACCACTGGATCGGTGAGTCGATGTACGGTTCAATTTTGATGACACCGTTGCAGTCGTTAACAGCGCTTTACAGGAACAAACAAAATGGGTCTTGATGACGGCCGTCTTGGCGGCACAGCTGTTGTTGACCTCGACACCAAGGTGTACGGCACGGACAACCTGTTTATTGTCGATGCTTCCATTTTCCCTGGCCACGTTACCGGAAACCCGTCGGCGGCGATCGTGACTGTGGCGGAGCGTGCCTTTGAGCGCCTTAGCTCGCTGCATGCGCCGGTCCTGGGTACGGAGGGCGCCCAGTGCGGTGGCAATACCTGGTCAGGAAGTTTCCAGTGCGAAGCCGGTCTCCAGTGCAGCTACGTCAACTCGACGCTGTCTCGCGTAAGTCAACAATTGGAGTGCAGAGAGCCGAGGAGCAGAGAACTACGTGTGTTGGTGGATAAATGCAAATACTAACCTTACTCGAAATGTAGTGCGATAAAACTGCAGCCAAGACACTTCGCCGTCTGCGCGTGTAAACATGGAACGTGCCAATAGTACACTATTCAAAGCACTCCACCATGACAGGTATTGTGAAGGCAGCATGCGATGCGGCTTGAAAGGAACCGCCCAACCTTCGCCGTGCATGTTATGTGAACGCCAAAATTAAAAATATGACACGCGAAAACAAAGAAACAAAGAAAAAGTACACCAAAAGAAAACTCGTAGTATCTGTGAAATACAGCGAATCCCAGTTAAAACTCCGATACTCCTGTGGATTGTGCCAACGACCAGGCCCATTTTGCCTCAGCGTAGTGGTGCTGCACGAACGACGTACAAAGATTAATGTGCATCGATAGTGACTAGATAGAGCGGTGCATCTTGCATTCGCTATGGTTATGTTTCCAGGGCGGCACGAGAGGAGACCGACCGTGTCGTGTGCAGCGATCACCTTCCTGGAACCCAAGGAGCTGGCGCCTGTCGTCCTGGTCAGTTTCTTCCACGTCGCTGAGAGCCCAAACCTGCAGCGCAAGCCTTTGGATGCGCCGGGGGCGATTCTTTGCTGATACAAGCCTGTACTTAAACACTGTTTGGCTGTTAGGGTGCTACGCCTTTCGCTGAAGTGTAATTTAGTGGACCATCCCATTGGATTTCCTGGACGAGGACTTCTGTCCACCACCTTCCAGTGCATCATGAAACGCAACGCGAGCTCGACATCATGTGATTTGAAAGGTCATGTTACAGCCATCCCCGCACATACTCCGCACGATCATCACGTTCCTTCTGCATCTCGAGCTCTTCCGTGTCCTCGCTGACCTCTTTCCCCGTAGGGCCACACCGTCTGACTTCTATCAATCATGGTTGCCCCTTCCTTGCCCGACATCGTGGTATACGACACGCCTGGCCAAGACATCCCAATCTGGTCGCACCACACGCTGCGCGTGCTTTACGCCCTCCACCGAAAAGGGCTACCATACGCCATCGTGCCGCTGGAGTACCCGGACATCGAAGCCACATTTGAGCCCACCAGCCTCCTACCCAAGGACGACCCTGTGGAGCGGTACGAGATCCCTGTTGTTCTTTTTCGTTCGCGTGGCGGCCCAAACAGCGACCCAGACGAGTATCTTATGGAGCCAGCGCGCATTATTGCCAAGCTCGATACTCTTGTCCCCAACCCACCGCTGCCCTTTGCCTCGCCACGTGCCACGGAGGCGCGCACCATATTCGGCCCGGCACTGGCTCCGATCTTGCAAATCGCCGTCGGTTATGTCCCCAGTGTGCTGTCGGCCCGCAGCCGAGAGGGCTTTTTAGCCAAGAGACAGGCGCGCTGGGGCAAGCCACTCGATGTTTGGGTGGCTGAGCGCCCCCAAAATAAGCTCTTGGAGACTGCGGCTCCGCGCCTACAGGCATTTGCGGACTGGCTGGAAGGAAATGGGCTCCAAGGGCCGTTTATCGAGGGCGCCCAATCTGGCTATGCTGACATGACAATTGTTAGCATTCTCGAATATGCACGTCTGGTTGGAGCTACAGATGCGTTTGATGCAGCAATGGCCCACCCACGCATTGCTCGGCTGTACGCTACGCTCGTGGAGAAGGACCAAATGGCTGCCCGACCGCCACAGGTAGCGACAATTTGTTAGAAAACGGTGTTCGTCGTCCCAGTCTCTGATTTCGGAAAAGGATACATCACATACGACATACTTGGCACGGGAGGGAACTGGTGAGAAATGCGCAGTTCAGCTGTGCTTTGTGGCTGTGGACAAACTACCAGATAGTTGGTGCCGAGCCAGAGCTGTACACTAGGCTGATCCTACAACGATCCTTCCAAGACCCCTGCACTCTGAAATCGACTGTCTGCAAATGTACAAATGCAGTGCACGGATGGCAGTCACAACTGAGCTGTGAAATTCTGTTTTGCGGGTTTATGCATCCTGTCTATTTTTCCCCAACCACAAATTTTGTTCCGCACAGTCGAATGTGCGACTTTAACTTTCTCTTCTCTTTGCACCCCAAGTTGCCTAACATGGACTCCATCCCGGCGGCCCAGCGCCCCTTCTTTTACATTTACGGGCACATCGTGCCAAAAACAGAAAAGTGGACGTTAACTCGGAACGGTTTCGACCCGGTCAAGAGACATGAGCTGCACGCCCGTCATGCTCTGAAAGAGAAGCTGGTTCTGGACGTCCAGGAGGTCATGTCGCAGTACGTATCTTGTATTGCGCATGGGTGATTGCCCTCGTCCCACCATCAGTGTGCAAACCGCTTATACGATCAATAGGAATGACCCGAGATACGAATATACTGGCCTAGGGCCCAGGGAGTTCCGGATGCTGCAGATCCACTCGGCGCCGTCTCGTACGGATCCAATCAGCTGCTCCCTTCTGACCTGGTCCATCGATGATCTGCCAGCTCCCTTTGAAGCACTTTCATACACCTGGGGCGATGCAAAGGAACGTCACTGGATTACAATCGATGAGAAAGCGATTGACGTCACCCCGAACCTCATCAGTGCTCTGCAGCAATTTCGCCGGCCCGACCAGGATCGTTTGCTATGGGTGGATGCTTTGTGCATCAACCAGCAGGACCTTCCGGAGCGGGGTTCGCAAGTTCTTTTCATGGACCTAGTCTATAAAAGGGCTGCGAGAGTGGTCGTGTGGCTCGGCGTTGCTTACAGCCAAAGCCACCTCGCATTTGAGCTGATGACCAAGATCACTGGCGTCATGGAAGCCGATCGCAAGGCACATAGCGACAGAAACAGTGGTGGTGAGATGTACCGCAAGTACACCATGCAGCAAGATGTCGTAGAACGCGGCCTCCCCGAGCAGGATGATCCGGCATGGTTGGCGCTCGACGCCCTTTTCTGGCGCCAGTGGTTTCTTCGCATCTGGGTCGTCCAAGAAGTCGCCGTCCCAAAAGTTGCCTTGGTCGTTTGTGGCTCGGACACCATCGATTTCGATGCCTTCTGCGACCTGTGTGACTACTTACACAACACTGCCCTAGGATCCATGACGGGTCTTAGTGCAGACCGCGTATTGGCACTTCGGACCGCCCGCAGCCAATACCAGACCAATAACCATGCCAGTCTGGTGACGCAACTTATCAGCTCGCGTACTTGCTTGGCCACAAATGCCGCCGACAAAGTGTTTGCTATGCTAAACATATCCAAGGATGTCCCTTCCGATCCAGCTCTTCGTCCAGACTACCACAAGAGCCCGAGCACTGTCTTTTCTGATACGGCTCGGGTTCTTTTGGCGGAAAGTCTTGATATTCTGAATTTCAACTCTGACAGCGTGTGGCGGGTTCATTCTGATATGCCGTCGTGGGCACCGGACTGGTCGTGCGCCCCGCGCGAGTTTTGTTTTCTCTTCACGCCCGAGGGCCCCTGGCTCCACGCTGGCACGGTCGGGCACGGTCGCAGGAGACTCTTCTGCACCGAACATTCGATTCTCGGAAGACAACAAAGTCCTGCATCTGCAAGGTCGCATCCTGGACAAAATCACCACTGTCGGCGAATCCTACTTCATGTTTAGTAACGCACGACATGGCAAGGTAAGCAACGACTGGTATTCGAAGAAAGTCGACAAAGACGAGATTCTATATCGGTTCTCGCGCCACCGCCGGTGGACCATGTGGGAGCACATGGCTCTCAAGCTGAAATCGTACCCGGTCACAGGTGAAGACATCCAGACTGCGTTTCAGAAAACGCTTATAGCCAATGCAAACTTACCTCCGCGAGTGGTGGGCGGGACGCTGAAACCGGCGAATCTTGAAGAATTGTACACTGCCTTCCGTCGACTGCAATCCGTCGAACCGCATCTCGGCCGGGATACAATGACGGAGGACGATATTCGGATCCAGAAAGACAACCATGACCTGTATGGGCAAAAAGTGCGTGCAGCGGCCTACGGCAGGAAGATCTTCGTAACGAAGAAGGGTTACCTCGGCTTGGCGCCGGTTTCTGCCGCGACAGGATATTTTGTGGCCATCCTGCACGGCGGACGAACGGCTTACGTGTTGAAGAAGAAAAGGAACGGCAACTATTCGTTCGTCGGAGAAGCGTACTTGCATGGCTTCATGCACGGCCAGGCTCTGGACGACGAGAAATATCCGGTCGAGGAGCTGGCCATTGAGTAGATCTGGGGAAGATGGAACTGCCGAAGGTAGATTTGTCTATCTAAGAATAAAGTATACTGGATCACAGAATATTTATCTCGTGCAACACTCAAGCAGACTCCGAATGTTACTCTTGCCGGGGACGCAGATGGGAAAAGTTCCATAGCAGGAGAAGGTCGTAAGACGCCTTCAAGGCACCTGCACCACCAAGAAGCAGAATCCACTGATGACGACCAGCCAGGACACCCGAGAATCCAACACCCCCAGCTTGCATCAACGTCTTCACCGTGTTGACGACACCCATCACGGCAGTCCGTTCTGCGGGCAGCACGGCGGCCGACAAAAAGGCCTGCCGGGGTGCCTGGTCCATACTCTGCGTACATGCTCGCAAGGCAAGGAAAGCCATGGCGAGAGGCGTTCCAACTGATCCTGATGCTGGCGGAACTGGAACAAGACCCAGGAATAGGGCCGAAGGGAGGTGAGTAAAGGCCATGGTCTTTAGCGGGCCGAGTCGGCGGGCTAGTGGCAGTGCCAAGAGATTCGAAAACGAAGCAAAAATGTTTGTGACGAGGAAGAGTGTTCCCAAGATGGCTGGCGCTAAGGAATGCACGGTGATGAAGAAGTAGGTGATCCAGGACGGTGATGCCATACCCGAAGCAAACGAGTCCAGGGCAAATAGCAAGACGAGGCGGGAAAGGATACCGCGTGACTCGTGTGAGATGGTCGGGAAAAGGTCCAAGAAACGTTGAAAGATGCCACCTTTTGAAGTGGGAGCCTCGGCAGCAGGTTCGTCGGTCGTGCCTTCCCCCGAAAGCAAACCGCTCCGTTCATTTGGTTCGGACGATGGTGTCGGCGCGGGACGAGCCGGGGCTGCTTCCACCGCGGACGTCAATGCCAACGTCAACAGAAACTTGACGAGGCCAATTGCAGCATACAAAAAAAAGATGATCCGATAGGCTGCATTGGTCTCACCGTTTCTATCTTGGATAACCTGCACAATGGTCCCGCTCGCTAACGAGCCAAGGGCAGTGCCGGCCGTTCCAAACAGTGTGTACCAAGCAAACATGTCAGAGCGGTGCGATGAGGGCGTCAACTGAGCGAGGACCGACTCCTCAACGGCGCGGAATGGCCCAATCTCGTTTCCACTGGGGCTGATGACACCCACGATACTAGCCAAAAGAAGAACCCAAAAGTTGTTGCTGAGGGCGAAGACAACACCGCTGCTGGCCATGAGCAGAGTTCCGGCTGCTAGGATGAGCCGCCGACCGACTTGGTCAGTGATAGCCGTGAGAAGAAGGCTGATGCCAACATCACCGAGCATCGTTAGCGTCATAAAGAGACCAATGCGTGCATCGGAGATGCCCAAACTGGCGAGAAACGGGACCAGTACTAGGAACGACGCGCCATATGCGAAAAGCCGCACGAAGCGCTGGGCGCACAGAAGTTTGGCATCGCGACCGGACTGCAGGACGGTGGTTAGGCCGCTTTCCGCTGCCAAACGTGATAACCAGGACGACATGGCGAGTTTTTGCGGAGGTGGGGTGAGTTGAGGCACGTTATGAATTGGTTGAATAGATGTTCTGTTCAACGTAACGCGTTTGTCTGCTTTGCGCTCTTTTAAGTTCTAGGCACTCATCGGCGCTACTTTGGATATCCGATCTAACACCGAGACCAGTCCAATTCCAGGCACCTGCCCCACCCTGGCAATTGCAAGTGCCGCGTCCGTAATTTGTCTCAAGTTTACTTGTTCAATGTGCACCTACGCATGTACAGATGCCTCACGTTGAGTCGGAGTATAAATCTACCTATGTTGTGGACCAATACGTTCTTTTCGCGGCTTTGTAAGGCTTTTTTGGATATTGACGTTGATTGTTCTTCTAATCGATGTAGTGACGTCATCTGCCACCATCCCTGGACTCACAGCTCGGCTTGACGGTCTTCTCGCCGACCAAGCTGTGGTTGGCGGTTGTCAGGCCTTGTCTGATCCAGTAAGGTTGTACGGCGCCGCTTGGCTTTTTCCGTGGAGCTTTTGGCCGCCTCCTGTCTCCTTTCGTATTTTTTTCTCTGCAGATATTCGACTGTAGCCAGCGCCAACCGCGTGCCGGCCGGTGCCGTCGAGTTTACTCAGGAGGATCTGATATGACCACTAAGCAGCATGGGAAGGCTGTTGTTGCATGTTTTGGCAAGTGACTTAGGATGTAGGATTGTTGGAATTATCAGATTTCACAATGCACTCTGTAGCTCCCCCCCCCCCCCCCCCCCCGAAAAAAACGGCAGGAACAGTTGGGCAAGCAACAGCACCTGACGCAGGCGCAGGTCACTCGTTTCACTGCCTCCGTGGCTCGTCATGCGATCTCTGACACAATTTCTGTGAGCAGTCAAAATTTATACCGTAGCAAACTCCCCGTGGAGGACGCAAAAAGCTGGGATCCTTGCTAGGAAAACTTGCAACGAATTGTAAACACTCTGCCACTGACCTTCACACCATGCTCGCTTATCCCTAAGTTGAATTCCATATTGCCCGTTAGAATCATTCCATTTTCGTTCCTTTAACGTTGGTGGTTGCCTTCGAACCGGTGTATCATATTCCTATGCTCTAGTACGGCAGCACACGACCGTGTGGCTGTATGCAGACAGATACATTGGTGGAGCAGTGCACTACGTGTACGAACATCTTGTTTCATCACGAATTCGAGAGTAAACGTTTAAAGTTCACAAAAAAACGAAACCAAAAAAGTGAGCAAATATACTTGTTTATAGTTTGAAAATATGCAAATTAGTATATAAATAAGTTCTAAAATGTCAGTCTCAGGTAAAACGAACCTAGTCCCCATAAACTTGTTATTTATGGGACCTTAACAGTGTGAAAGGTTTACATGGAAGTGACATCATCTAGGGCGAAATAACTTGTAAAAAGTCACCGCCCAGCTTCGTGTAGAAGGTCGCACCAGCAACAACCTTTGGAGCGCCAGGAACGGTCGCACCACAGTTTTCAGCCCAGTTGCCAGATTTGTTGTACTTGCTGCCAACGAACTCGACATAGTCGTCCAGAAGACAAGAGTAGCCAGGTCCGTTTTGGCATCCGGGAACAGGGTAGACAGCGTCATTCAACAGCACACGGATAAAAGTGTGGTTGGTGATTGACGGCGGAAAGGACGGCACTTTCGTTTTGCCACCACAGGTGCGCTGGGCCAGCGGTAGGAGATCGCTGGAGCAGTTCCTGCTGGGCCGCACAGCACAGTTGAGGCGCTCAAAGCCAACGGTGCCGCGCATGGTCGTGAATCGATTACCAATGTACAGGCGATTCGGATCCATATGCGAGTCAGACAGTGCAGCTTGCGCATCGTGTACGCCGGATGCCGCGATCAGTTCATTCAGCTGACCGTCATTGAGAAAACTGACCAAGAGTTGGGGTAAAGTGAAATCTGAGCCGTCCGCTGCAGTGCCATGAAGAGCACCAGGGCCCGTTTTCAATAAACCCATAACTGCATTCAGATATGGCAGCATCATTGTAGCCGGTAACTTGGTACCAGGACCCACGCCATAGTAGTAACGGAGATCGTTGGAATATTGGTAGTACTGAAGCTCTTTGTCAGAGAAGACATTGCACCACGGCGAGAGACGGCCGGTGATCTGAGACTCGAAGCCACAGAGATATGGGATCTGGGAAATATCGTCGGAAGTGAATGTAAGGTTGCCAGAAATAAGGGACTGGAGACGTTTTTGGATGGGCGGGATGTAGACATTGGACCAGTTGGTAAAATACATGCCTCCAGACACGTCGACAAAGTTGGGGCAGCTGTCAGACGGACCGAGCGAGTTACCGATAGCGTCGACGCTTCCGGAAGACGTGACAGACACAACGTGGCCCAGATTGGTAGCGTTGACACCAAGAAAGCCGCGGACAAACAGCTTAGCTGTCTGCAACACCCGCGAGTAGTTGTTGGCCCAGACGTACAGATCGTCGCCCTCGTTATACAACTGGGGATATTTGGTACGTAGAGCATATGCCATATCGAAAGCCTCCTTCTGTCCCGTTGGCGAGAGGTTGGACATTTGAAGGCGGGGGTTTGTCAGCACGGGCTTCCAAGATGGCAGGAAGGAGAGCGTTCCCGTGGCATCGTATCCATTACCCGCCGAAAACTGGCCCGTCAGCAGAGGCATTAAAACAGAGACCGGGAAAGTTACGAGGTCAAACAACTAACGCGGTTCTTCATGTCTATCCAGCCATTGTAAGCGCCGGGGTCGGGGTACCGAGAAGCATGGCGGGAAACGAAGAAAGCCTGATCGACAGTACAATGCTCGGGCACATCCGAAGAGATGCCGTACACGTTGGGGCCTAGTCGTATTAGCTCATATACGACACGCTGTTTCCTAGACAAGATTTTTAACAACGGAGCGTGCGCTTCTTACCAGAGGCATAGGGGCCGTTGGCCCCAAGCCAGCCGAGTGGGTTTGAAGCAGCAGAGGTTTTGAGGAAGTTGATATCGAAGGCAGGTGACAGTATAGAGCCGACCTGAGCATTTGCAGCACCGGCGAGGACGAGGAGACTGGCGAGAAGGGCCATCGTGAAAGCTGTTAGGACGTCGCGACAATGAGGCGGCGCACAATAAAATTCAGAACAGAGCGGCGCCGGCTCAAAACATACACCCTGCCTGTCCAATAAATCTCAATATCTGAGACTTGGAATCAGGTTTCTTTTAATACATGCTCATCAGCACGATGCAGTTCTTTCATTTGCATCTGCGCCGATAGACAGCGAAAATGTTGATTGGTGACAATGTCCTGCAGGGTCAACCCTCATCTAAGGCGCTAACTATCAGATGAATATGGTTGCCCAAAAGCTACGGGGTATGATCAGTTGGCGATCGTTGTACTAGGCGCAATTGAGGATTTGTGCCGGAGCACGAGGGCCAGCTAACACGATTCCTTGGTTCATTTACTTTTTCGAGAGCCCCTCGTCGCCTACGGAGTAGTTTTGATTGCTACAGGATGGTCAATAGCCTGGCCGCGTCGCGTGGTATCGGGTGTAACCGATCTGAAAATCATCGCCAGTTCATTCAGCCACAATTGCGATTTCTTACATATGGCGGTCGTTTGGGCAAACGCGTTTTCTGCGTTGGCACTTGCTGCCACGCGTCATGGGTAGGGCATGCCAAGACATTGTGAGATTAAGCAAAGTTGAAATCAATGCAAAACGGAGCGATGGACGGGTCGGCCAGGGGCGAGCGACAAGATGTGGCCATCAGGGGCGCACGTGGAAGGTAAAGTCACCCTTGGCGTATGGCGTCGCCACTAAACCCTTTTCTGGTGAATGTCCAGTGCAGGAATTCAAACTGAGCTCCAGACCAATGCAATAAAGAGGCTGCAGCCGTCGTTCTTTAGTCCCCATTCCCATCGGTAAGTCCGACCATTTTGATATCATGGCCTGTTGACGTTACTTACATCTGTTGTATTGGTTTTGTTCTGAAAATTAAAGGAAAGGCAGCCCGGAAACCGGGAATAGGCTGGGCGACTGCGATGAATTGGTGTTAGTGTTGACGTGATCGGGAGCAATTGCGCAATCTCGCAGTCTGCTCAATGCCCAACACGACATGACCGATGACCACGAAGTGCAAGACATTAAATAGGTCGAAATTAAAAGGCACTGCCAGTATTTTATGGCCTGCCTTTCTTATTCTCGAATGTGCACAGTTGCGTCGTATGGACAGGCACAAAGTACAGCATGAAAACCACTTCGCTTTTTACGTTTGCCGTACTGGCCAGCCTTGCGGCTGCGAATTTTGAGTTCCGAAGCCGTCCGGAGTTTGCTATTCCGCATTTGAATATCACAACAACTGAAAAGCTAGGGTCTCTCGAAAAAGGCTTGCTGTTTGTCGGCCAGTACCCGGGCTTTACGACAGGCCCAGACAATGTCGCCTTCGGCCCCATCCAGCCGGCTGCTTACATTTTCCAGGACGACGGCGAGCTGGTTTGGTCCGGTGTCGGCTATCATGCCGGCTGGGTGGCCAACTTTGCGCCTGTGATCTGGAAGGGCGAGCCATACTTGCGGGCATTCCAGGGCGCATTGGATCCGGTTCACGGCCGGATGTTTGGCTTCCACTCGCTGCTGGACAAGCACTACCGGCCGGCCAAGGTGCTGCAATCTGGTGGTCACCGCTGGGCATCGGCACACGAGTTTAATATCATCGACGAGAAGACAGCGCTGATTGAAATTCCCCTGCCTGTCGTGGCGTCGCTCAAACCGTGGGGCGGCGACGAGAGCCAGGTCTGGGTCCTGTCCAGCGGTTTCCAAGGTAGGCGAGCGGGAAAGTGATGGGCACAAAAGGGGGCAGGGGATAATATGAGCCAATGTCACTCACACGGTGTCCCTTAGAAATCGATATCGAAACAGGTGAGGTTGTTTTTGAATGGCACAGCTTCGACCATGTAGACCCGAAGCGCAGCGCGTTCCCTCTGGACACGAAAACGAATATTTTTGGCTCGGGCCGCTCCGAGAGCGACGCGTGGAACTACTTTCATGTCAACAGTGTGGACAAGGACGGCGACGGCAATTACCTAATGTCGGCGCGCAACATGGTAAGTGTGTATAAGCTAAACGGCACAAATGGCCACGTCCTTTGGCAGCTGGGCGGCCTGCACGGCGGTGCAGACTTCGAATTTGAGAACCCAGAAAACGATGTTTTTGGTTACCAGCACCACGCCCGTTTTCGCGGCCGTTCAACGGACGGAAGTATCGAGTACATCTCCCTGTTCGACAACGGCGCCCATTCGGCCGATGTGAAGACGCACCCTACGTCGCGTGCTCGTGTTTACAAGCTCGACTACAACACCGGCAAAGCCACCGCAATTCGCTCATACGAGGCACCTGACGGCCTGTCTGCATCCACACAGGGCAGTACGCAGATTCTGCCCAACGGCCATGTCTTTGTCAACTGGGGCCAGGCAGGCGCAATCACCGAGTATGCCGAGGACGGCGAGGTTCTGTTCCATGCTTACCTGGACTCGGACCCGGCTGGTCACCTGGTGCAGAGCTACCGTGGTTTCCGGGCGAACTGGACGGGTATTCCCGCGGAAGAGCCAGCTCTCGCAGTCTATGTATCGGATTCGGCCAACAAAGAGGGCATCGATGCCTATGTGTCGTGGAACGGCGACACCGAGACAAAAGTCTGGCGCTTTTATGTGGCATTCGATGGCCGTTTCTTGGGTGAGGTGAAGCGTTCTGGTTTTGAGACGCATGCATTCTTCAAGAACGTTGCTTCGGTGCCATTCCTGGATAGTGTTAAAATCTACGCGGAGGCGATTGACGGCGACGGCACCGTTCTGTGACAGGCAAAGCCTGTATTCGTTGAACGCAATGTGAAGGCTAACGTAGCTCACGAGTATCAGGCCGTGGACCAAGTCGGGCTGTGAGTTGGCTGAGTCGGATATCAAATTCAAGAAAACAACGTATTTTGTGCGGTCCAGAATTCTATGAAAAAAGTGGAACAACCAACGGATTTGGCAATGAATATTCTAAGTAATGACTAATGCGCTTTGGTAATTCGTAAAAGCGCGCGATGACAGAAGTTCATTACAATAGCAAAAAGTGAAACGAAAAGGGAAGCAAAAAAAAAGTCTCCCAAGCTGTATTCTGTACGCCGTAGTTCACTATGAATTCTATTTGATCGATTATGCAGTCACCCACGAGGCAAAGACAGGCCTTTCGAACTCCTGACAAACACGTGGTGACGTGCTGGCCTCTGATTAGACGATTCCGAAGCTTTGGCCCAGTGTCTTGGTGTTCTTGGACGTTGTCGGCCTTCCAGGCTCATTGTCAAACCTGATTCGTCTCTGACGACAGTCGGTCTTGGTGAGTCTTGGCCACACCCAAATAGTGGTCAGTCACTGACTGGTCAAAAATATGGCTGCACAGCCTTGCAATTGTGAGGATGCTATGTCGTACGTGCGATTATTTGCTGCACCTTCGAGCCTGTGGCGGGGCGAGACAAGTCGTCCGGAGTAAATGGGTTCACCGAGACGGAGAGACAGCGCTGTTTTTCAAAAGTATATCTCAAAGGCCGTATCTAACGACCAAATATAAAAGTACAGCGGCTCCCAGTTGCCAAGTTCGCCAAGGTCCGCCAAGGTACTCAGCTTCTTGGGGCACCACCAACGTCCAAGGAGGACTGCAAAGGGGCAACGAATTTTGCCTCGCGCCAATTTGATCACGAAAGGTACGCCGAGACTCAATCGGAGAGACATCCAACTCAACATCTGGCGGAGCGGGCAGAGATAGCACACGTGCCTCAGTTTGCTTCAGCAAAGGGCGAACAAAAATACGGCAGAGCGATATGGAGGCGATGAGGATGGCCGATGTAGTCTGGCCAAGGCGTTGCCGAGTCTCATGGCTGTGCAAATGGACACCGAGAGAGTGACGCCGAGGGCGTAGGTAAGGAAAAGACGACTGGCCGAAGATGAGCGTTGGCTTGGTGTCTCTGTCTTGTTATTTTCCAGTCGTGGAGCTCCACAGATATAAAGATACTTGGAGACCGCCGCTGGATTTGATGTCAGACTCCATTCCATCTTCTGCAGACCAGAATCTAAATTCAGTCATTCTTTGCTTTTGTCAACTCTTATCGTTTTCTGACTTACTATACGCATTTTTTTTTTTGAATTCCGTTTCCTTTCTATTTGGACCGGCCGGCAGTATCACCGCATTCCACTCAAGATGGTCCGCCTTCTGGAATATAACCATCTATTTGCTGTTGGCACAATCTTCGCCTTCCTAGATGCATGGAACATTGGTGAGAATAGTTTCCCTGTCAACAGCCCCCGCCTCCTCCACGCTCCTTCCTCTCCTGTTAACACTTAAATTACAGGTGCCAATGATGTCGCCAACTCATGGACCACGTCGGTCAGCTCGCGTTCTGTCACGTATCTGCAGGCCATGTGTCTTGCCAGTGTGATGGAGTTTGGAGGTGCAGTCGGCGTCGGGGCCCGTGTAGCGGACACCATCCGCACCAAGGTCGTCAACACCGACCTTTACGCTGAAACGCCTGGGGTGCTAATGCTGGGCATGGTGTGTGCCATTATAGCCTCGTCGTTGTACCTCACTTTTGCCACCAAAGTTGGTATGCCTGTGTCCACCACGCACTCCATTATGGGTGGCGTCGTTGGCATGGGAATTGCGTCCGTTGGCGCCAATGGCATCCAATGGGTGGGATCAGGTAGTGGCACGGCTGTGGTTAATGCTGGTGTGGTGCAGGTCTTCCTGGCGTGGATCCTGGCCCCCGGTATCTCAGGCATTTTTGGCGCCATCATCTTCACGATTACCAAATACGCGGTCATGCTGCGCTCTAGACCCGTTTACAAGGCTCTGTTGACTGTTCCCATCTACTTTGGCATCACGGCGTCTCTACTCACTATGTTACTGCTCTGGAAGGGTGGCAGCTACGCCGTGACGCTAACGGACCCGCAGGTGGCCGGTGTGATTGTCGGCGTCGGAGCTGCCTGGGGCATTTTCATTGCCATTTTCCTCTGCCCGTGGCTTTATTGCAAGGTTATCCGCGACGACTGGACTATCAAGGTCTACCACCTGCCCCTGGGGCCGCTCAACTTACGTCGTCCCGATGCTGGACCGCCGTCGCCGGGATATTGTGGTACGCGAAATTTCTACCAGGGACATCTCACGCAGGAGGAGCTGGATAGACGGCGTGCGCGCCCCGTCGTCAGTGCGGAGGCGCCCAGAGGCCAGGGCGTGACGGACGAGGAGGCGACCATAGGCAATGGGTCGCCCGAGCTGAAGGGCAACAATGCCACCAACACGGCCAGCGTTTCCGACGATGGCGTGGTGAACAACCCGGCGCGACGTGGCCAGCTGCAGCCCTCGGAAGGCATTGAAAACGAGAAGCAGCCCGAGCAACACAAGTCCATTGTCGGGCCGAAGCCCGATGGCAAGTGGTATTCCGGCTCGGTCCTCTTTTGGTACTTCAAGTATGCTATTTTCCGTGGTGTTGACGTCGACATTGTCAACTCACAGAAGGACAAACGTACTCTTTTGACAGGTGACCTAGAGGCCATGCACGCCCGCGTCGCACACTACGACAACAAGACGGAGTACATGTTCACCTTCCTGCAGGTCATGACTGCTGCGACTGCGTCTTTCACACATGGTGCCAACGACATTGCCAACGCTATTGGACCCTATGCCACAATCTTCCAGATCTGGAACGACGGTGCTTTGCCTGAGAAGGGCAAGGCTGACGTTCCCATCTGGATTCTTGTCTTTGGCGGCGTTGCTTTGATCATTGGGCTTTGGACGTACGGCTACAACATCATGCGCAACTTGGGTAACCGCATTACTCTTCACTCGCCGTCCCGTGGGTTTTCTATGGAGCTAGCTAGCGCCACGACAATCATTCTCGCCACCCGTCTAAGTAAGTCTTATTTATGTCCAACTGCCCGTCTCCCAGACCATGGTATATTTATGGCCTCTGGGTGCACGATTGTACTATTTTAATTTCATGAGCGCTGGCCAGGCATTGTCATCCACTCAACGGAAACCTGCTGACACAAACAGAACTGCCTGTGTCAACTACACAGTGCATTACGGGTGCTACCGTTGGTGTCGGTCTCTGCTCAGGTGATTGGCGTACGATCAACTGGCGAATGGTTCTTTGGATCTACGCGGGCTGGGTCATCACCCTTCCGTGCGCAGGTTTGATTTCTGGGTCGCTGATGGCCTTTATCATTCACTCGCCACGGTGGTAAGAGCTAAAGCGTGGCACACTCCTTCCAACATTTTTACATTCCTATCGTTTGTGGTGGTGCTTTCTGCGCGAAGTAGTTTGGGATCGGCTCAATGTATTTGCCTCTTGAAGATATTTTCTATGGTTACAACATATAAAACTGGTTGCTCGGGCGACTGCTCTTCGCTTCGTCAGGACCAATACAAGAAGCCTCTCACTTATTTTTTTTGTCGCTTATATATCCGTCATCCTCTCTGCTTCCCCCTCTGTTGCTGCTCTCGTCAATGTCCAACATTGCATTCTAGTTGTCTTTGATTGGACTTAGATGCCGTTTGACAGAGAGAAAGCCTCAATAGCCTGGTCGAAAGACGCGCCGATGGGGGCAGCCAGGTTCGAGGCAATGCCCTGCAGAGCAGCAGGTACCTTTGCGATGATGGCAGCGCTCATGTCGTCAGAGGCCTTCTTCTGCAGCTTGAGGTCAATCAGGACGACAGGCGCGAGGAGTAAGTGCTCGAAATCGTCGTGGCGGTTGATGAGCGCTGTCATAGTGGAGTTAACGGTCGTGGACAAGGTTGTGACGGCCGTGGCAATGCCAAGAGCCTCGTCCTGGGTCAACGGGTCGCTGTCATTGGCAGTATCCGTGCCGTCGTTGATGGCCGATAGAACGCGGGCGCTCTGAGGCAGGATCGGGAGCGAGCCCAGAAGGCCGCCCGACCAGCCATTGACGATATTCTGGAGCTTCTGCGTCGCTGAGTCGACGTTGTCGAGAGCGCTGACGATGTCAGCACCACTGGCAGCAGCCGTGGTAGCAGTCACGGCCACAACGGCGGCACGAACAAGAATAGAAACACGCATAGTGAAGGATCCGGAGAAACAGCAAAGGTTTGTTTTGTGTAGATGAGGGACTGAGCGGCTGAAGAAGGTGGTCGGGGTAGGAAAAAAAAAAGATAAAAGGAGAGAAAAAATGGAGAAGGGTGGAAGATGGAAAGTATATGTGGGCAGAATGAAAGTAGCAGAGAGAAGGAAGGAACGATCGTCGTTGAATATGTACTTTGTACCAAAATAATCCTGGCTACTCACTTGCTTACGGGGGACGTGGGCTCGTGGGTAATGATCTTACTATCTCCATGGCCCGTTGCCACTGGCTTCCTCGTCGTTGCAAGAAGATGCACCGGAGTAGCTGTATGCGCATTGTAATTGGCACCATGATCCTGGGCCAAAATACCTCCCCACATGCAGCAATTGTCGCTCGCGGGGCTCGTCTGGGCGCATCTGGGGACATTCCGGGGGAGTTGCATGGGCCATCTGGGGTATCTCTCCTCGGCTTGACTCCAGCAAGGGTGATGCGGAGACAGGTAGACACGTGAATTGAGGAGAAAACACATGTGAAGATGGTCTAGTAATGATCGATGTCTGTGTGAACAAAGAGCAAATGGGGAATGGGTGGAGTACTACCCCGCTCAATCCTTGTTTCAGGTACCATTGTGATCCATGTCGACATGGAAAATAGTGCGTGGGAAATCAGACGGAGTATTTGGATCGACAGAAAAGGAAGAAAGACTTAGCAAGGAGGCACTCAGGCACAGTAGCAATAAGAGAATTATGGAGCACTTAAGTTCGAGTACGTGTCGAACATTTGACTCTGTCTTCAGGATTGCGCGAAGCTTGAACGAAATTCGTCCCCAATTGCTTACACCGAGTGCGTTGGATTCCGACCGTATTGATTCGGCCCGGACCAGTGAACATGAACCAGAATTTTCTGCTGCGTTTGCATGTGAAATAAAGCTTACGCTAACCAAACTAGACACTACAAAGCGACATCACTAGACTGGCTTTTAGATACTAGCTAAACAACACACCAAACAGGCTTAGTATTGTCCTTGTTTTCCATACGTAGCAAATGTGTGAGCGATATGCCGTAAAAAATAAACAGTAACGTACTCTGTACTCCGTACAGAGGAGTATTTAGTTGCAGGAAACACAGAGTGGTGTCATTTTGTCACCCTTAGTGTGAGACCACGGTCCGTGCCCAGTCGTAACAAAAAGTGGCAGATAGAGGGTATAAGTTTCATAACTGCATAATTGCATACAACACACACGTCTGTACGACTTTTGATAACTGTGTGACGGGTCTTTCCCGGTTATCTGCTCTGGCACTGTCTACATCCTCGAGGGCAGCCCGAATAGCAACACGTCCTACTCGCCCCACACGAAAAACTAAGCAATGGGTCTCTATAATATATTCTACTAACTTGGAGGTAACTTCATATTACAATCATAAACGAGTCAAAGACTAACTACAATAATCGTTTGGTATATGCGACAAATGGAACAGAGAAATGATACAGGTACTCGAGGGGGAGAAATCTGAGATATAGATAATATTCTCGGAAACAATATTCTCCTCGACTGTGTTGTGTAGTCTTCGAAAAGCGGACACTAGTCGACAACTTCGGTACACATCGACTTATTAACCTCGTCATAGTTGTCCATAGCCCATGATCTAATGTGCATCTGAACAACGATTCTGAGCGTTACCTTTCCGATGCGGTCGCCCATATGGAAAGGACACCGCCGGTGGGTACGCATCTTCAATTCCTCGTAGGGCTGGGCGCCTCAAAGAGGTCCTCGACTAGGTTGCGTAGCTCCATAACGTTGGTGCACACAACGGCTTCGTATACCTTGTACGTATTGCTAATGGTACGCAGGCTTTTTTAGGTGTCGTTAGTTGCTGTGTGAGCGGCTGTGGCATGGTCACCAATAAAATTGGTATCGCCGTAGCGATCTCCGGGATAGCCAGGCCCCAGTATTCAATCGTACCCGCAGCTATGTTGCGCAGGCAGTTGGTCCGTCGGGCAGTCGAGCTGCAGGGGCGGGAGGCGGGGGGGGGGGGGGGGGGGGGGGTTGCGTCGAGGAGCGATGTGCAGGCGGTGGGCGTATCTTGTGCACGCAGTGCTGGCCATGTTCTTGCAATTATTACTTCTATCTCTCTCATGGTCGGCATGGACGTAGCGGTTAAGTGGGATAGACATGCCCGTTGTTTGCGGTGTCCCTTATTCTGTCACACCAAATGGCTGTTGGTAGAGTGTGGGTAGAGTGTTCCTGGGCACAGGAACCCATATTTCCACACCTGTTGCTACACTACGACATCGCAACATTCCTTCTCATACTATTATTTCAGAATATATCACACACGACTTTAATACACGTCATTTCCTTACTTCCAGGTCACGCACAATATTTCTCCAACCCAGGCAGGCGCCGACATGATACACTCCATGGTCGGTTATTCAGTCGGTGGTCTCATGACCGGCGCCTTCATTATACGGTATGGGTGATACAAGCTGGTAACGATTTTCTTGAGCCTTAGCTCGAGTCTCAGTTTCAATTTTTTCTGATCTTCCGGTAACGGTAACCAGACACCGACTAGCGGTGCCTCATTGCCTTTCTTGGTGGATTTGGCATTGTGCAGCATATCCCAACCAGTTTGTCAGTCTGACTGCTGATGTGACTTGAGACGATATGCCAATTGTCGGTTCAGGGTTGTGCTTGAGTGGTTGTATCGGTGCTGTTCCCAGAATGAGCGTTGCCAATGCGCCGTTTCTGGCTCAATACGGACCAGTCTTACATATTGACTTACAGACCACGTCATATTTGGACTTGGCGCGGATACTGCCACAGAGATCATCGGCCAAGAGCTTTCGGATGGGGATTGGGTTAGTAAAAGTGTGTGTTGGGCGTGTGCAAGATCTCGTGGTGGCGGCTTAATTGTCCAGCTTTCGAGAGTGCATTCGAGATGAACCACTGGTCAGATAAGTCTGTACCAGGCTGTGAGTCTTGTCATAAAAAGAAGAATCTTTAAATATTACACTGGTATATTAAAGGACTTATCTTTATATAATGGCAATTATATATTAACTTATAATAAAAGCGTAACACAAAATAGATACACAACACATCATGCCGCCCCTCATGTTGTCCACGTTGACGTCGCCGAAACCGGTCTCAATGTGCCATTCAAAATCATATTCACACGGTCCTGGTTTTGCTCTACCCGACTTCGGCATCTTCCGTAAATGTTAAGATTTTTTGTGCTTATATGAGAGAACTATAGAAGAGTTTGTTCCAGGCATTCAATTAGTGGTTTTGCCGTTGTACATTTGGGGTCATTATTTTGATTATAATGAGTAATAAACGTAATTCGCCCTATGTTCTTATATTCGACGAAATTAAATGTGCCAAATAAGAGATGTGAATGACAGATAAAGCGAATATTCATATCCGATCATTTATCTGTTCCATTTTGTGGCGTCTTCACTTGTACCCACTATTATGGTACGTCCATGCATTTCGTGATTTCAAGCGTGGTGGCATCATAAAGATCGTCCGGTGGTGTATTCCGTACCGGACTTAGATTGACTGCTCTCGTCAAACAACTATCCTAAGTGGACCCGTACCGGCAGTTGCTCGCTGAAACCTAAATTTTCATATTTTACGTCGTATGCCGTATGTCGTATGCCGTAGATGTTTTCTTCTCAACGCAACAGTGCAGAACCTTACCTGTATGGTCCACGGCTGCTCCAGAATTGTAAAGATCCCACACGAGGAAAATGCAATCAGTACGTGAAGTAGCACGTCACCGATCTTCGCCTGTCGTGATTATGAAGATCAAGAGAGAGAAGGCAAAACACAGAAAGACGTCAAAGCGAATTGGTAGAACATCCATAGAATTGCTAGATAAATAAATGAAAAGACGTGCAAAGCATAACATCACAAATAGAAAGAAGAATAGCAATAAGAGTCACTGACACAATACAAAACAAATAACCCAGTTCCACAAGATTCTTTGAAGACATTGTTATAAAATACCGAACTCCGTTCCTGTTTCATTAAAGGGTTATGCCCTTTCAACGACGATAATTATCAGGAAGTTGGCCCCGGTCTTGACAGCTCTCGGCAAGCATTGGCAGTCTGGAACCGCCGGCCGCCCTTACCTCATATCAATTCGCGATACTCTACATTGTTTTTACCTTTCTTTACAATTTACCCAACGTTATCGACATGGACGCAATGCAATCTGCCGTCCGGGCCATAGCCGCTCGCACCGACCTGGCTGCGAACGTGCATGGTCTGACGCTGGTGTCTCAACGCACCGGCTATGGCTTGCTGATCGGCCTCGGCGTACTGTTTTGTATCGTCATTTTGCTGGCCGTCAAGGTGCAGCGCGCCTATCTCTCCGAAGACAACGACACGTCCGAAATGTTCCTAGTGGCCAACCGGTCCGTTGGCACGGGCCTAACGGCGTCGGCCGTGTTCTCGTCATGGATGTGGATCAACGAGACGGTGCTCTGTGCGGCCATGTGCTACCGTTATGGTCTTGCCCTTCCGTACTGGTGGGCTTGTGGCCTCTGTTTCCAGATTGCACTTATGGCTGCCCTCGGTGTGCTGGCCAAGATACGGGTGCCCTACGCCCACACATCGTTGGAAATTATACGAATGCGTTACGGCAAGACCGGCCACTTGGTGTTCATGGTCATGAACTTGGTCAACAACGTGTTTGGCTGTGCGTCGATGATCCTTACGGGATCGCAGCTCATCTTCGGCATATCAGGCATGAACTTTGCGGCAGCCACGGTGTTGATCCCGCTAGGCGTCGTGTTGTACACGGCAGTAGGCGGTCTCAAAGCAACATTCCTGACAGACTTCCTACATACGGCCGTGGCGTTGATTCTAATCATCTACTTCACCCTCAAAGTTTTGACACATGATGCTGTCGGTGGTCTCCATGGTCTTTATGATAAGGTGCAAGCTGTTGCCGCCGACAATTACATTCCGACCAACTACGAAGGGTCGTTGTTGACAATGAAGTCGCAGGACGCCATTATCTGGGGTCTCATTCTCAAGTTTGGCAATCTTGCACTTGTCATTATGGATACAGCCTTTTGGCAAAAGTCTTTTGCTACCGAAGTCAAAGCTACCGTGCCCGGCTACAACCTGGCCGCCATCGCTATTTTCGGAATTCCATGGGGACTGGGCACCGTCATTGGCCTAGCGGCGCGCGTCATTCAGAGCACGCCCATCTTCCCGACCTACCCAGACGCATTGACTCTGGCGGAAGTTAACGCTGGTTTCGTCATGCCCTACACGGTGAAGGCTCTCATTGGGCCTTCTGGCATCGTGGCTTTTTTCGTTCTGCTCTTCATGGCCCTCACCAGTACCGTTTCCAGTTCCATGATTGCGGTGTCGAGTATCTTGTCATTTGATTTGTACAAGACGTACATCAATCCCCATGCCTCTGACCGCCGGCTTGTGCGTGTTAGTCATCTAGCTGTCGTCTTCCATACCTGTTTTATTACGGGCATTGCCATCGCTCTCAACTATGGTGGCGCTGACATGACCTGGCTCAACTATTTCCGGCCTGTCATTGCCTGTCCCGGCATTATTCCCCTGGCTCTGACCTTAGGCTGGAAACGGCAAACAAAGACGGCTGCCGTCGTCGCTCCCATTCTAGGATTTCTCACTGGTCTCGGTATCTGGCTTGGTACTGCCTATAGTTATTATGGTGCGATCAACATGGTGACGACTGAGGGCAATTTACCTGCGCTCTTTGGCGCTTGCGGTTCTTTCTTCTCGCCTTTACTATACTCTGTGGTATTGTCTCTTTGGTGGAAGCCGAGTGTTTTTGACTGGCGCGAGTTTCTGCGTATTGAGATCAAAGAGCATGACGAGCTGGCAGCTGGCAGTGGAGATGAGAGCAGCGGCAAGACAGGCGAGAGCACCAAAGGCGGCGAGAACATTGATTCCAGCGGTTGTGCAACACCTGTTGTGATCCCTGGCTCTGTCGATGAAAAGGACACTGTACCAACGAACATTGCCCCGGCCCGGGAGACTGTGCAACAGATCCCCAAATCCTCAATCCCACTGGATGATATTCAGCACCCCTTTGGCCCAGAAGTTCTAGCCGAACTTTACCGCTGGCTCCGCCTTGCCTGGATATTCTTTGTCTTTGTGGTGCTTGTGACTTTCATTCTCTGGCCTATGCCTCTCTACAGAGATTATGTTTTTTCAAAGACATTCTTTACATCGTGGACTACAGTGGCTATAATGTGGCAGTTTTTTGCATTTTTCGCCGTTGTCGTCTTCCCTATCTACGATGGTCAGCACGCTATTGCCACGGGTTCAAAAGGGGTCTACCACGCCGTGACAAACTTCTTTGCGGGTAAGAAAGAGTAGAAGCGCATAGAGAACATGTTGGGGCGATTTGTCGGTATAAACTTCTGCTGGTACAGCTAGCTACAAAACCACAATCAAAAAATGCCTTGCACATAAAGAAGACCGTGCGTGTTAACACAGGCGCGCAGTAGAGTTCTGTAATCCAATTCAATCTATCTAATGAACCCTCGAATATGAAGTGACAACGCCGATGACGTCAAGCACAGAAAGTTGCTGAGAAAACATTATTCGCTTAGGCGGTGAGTAAATTGTTTTTAAGAGGTTAGCCCTTGGATACTCAATCGTTACTTTTCTAAAACATGTAGCTATTTAAACTGCTCTTCCCGTATGCTTTTATTTCTACACTTTGTCTCAGTCGTCACTTCTCCTTCATACGGTATACCCTCTGTCTCCATAGAGCACAATACTCCCTAGCCTGATCAACTAGCAGACTCAACGCTTTATGCGTAGAAGGCACTTCGTAACTAAGAATGGTCAGTTCACACTAGGTGCTGCTGGCCACCTGTCTAAAACTGTAGCATTCCCTGTAAGAGTTAACGTCGCGTTCGCCAGACCCGGCTGGTCTAGTATTAAAGTGTATGTGCCAGGATACAAAACTGTATTTCCCTGCTCGTCATGCCGGGCCAGGCTTCCCAGCGTCCACAACAAGTTGGCACTGGCCTTCTGCCCTGCGTCGATGTCGCGAAGCCTTTGGTAAGCCACGAGCGTCTTGATCGGGTATGGCTTAGGCCCTGCCGCGCTAGCGACAAAAACGAGCACGACATAATCCGACGTATGGTTGCCGGCGTTGGTCACGGCCACCCCCAGTGGTGGCAGCGCACACGTGTCTGGATACTTATTATCTTTATCGCAGGTGTTCAGGAGGTCTGAGATCGACAAGCTTGCTGTTAGATTCGCAAAGGCCGGCTGGAAGGTCGTGTAATGCAGGCCTGTACCGAAGGCCTGCACGGGCGTCGGGTACCACCTATACGTGCGGCCCAGGTTTGCACCGACCGGGCGTAGGTTCATGTCTGTCATGGGGAGCGTGGTGTAGCTGGCTGGGTACTGCGTAACAGGAAGGCGACCGGCCGGCGCCTTGGCGCCGCTGATGATGGACATGACGGCCGGGCCGCCGTCCTGCCCTGACCAGCTCGCCCAGAGAACTGAGTTGAGCCCTTGCAGTCCTAGGAGCGGGGTGTTGTCGACCTGGTCACCGAGCTGAATCACTACTAAGGGTTTGCCGACGGTCGCCAGTTTCTTGATCAGCTCGACTTGGGCTGCCGGCCAGGCGATCGAGGTACGGTCGGAACCTTCAGCGGCCGCCGACGTGTCGAGCCCGCCAAAGTAAAGAATATAGTCCGAGGCATTGGCCGCAGCAAGGGCGTCTGTAGTCCATGTGTCTCTAGCCGTGCTCGACTCTAGGATGGGCCCCGTAGCTACAGTGATGTTGAATTTCGCGCTCCTGGCGGCAGAAGCAGGCGTGCGAAGATATGGCGCCTTACCGCTGTAAATTCCCTGTAGCTTGCTTCCCTGGTCGGCCCAGAACCCGATCATGGCTAATTTGGAACCGTCCTGAAGAGGGAGTGGAAGAGTTCCATCATTCTTCAACATGACGATGCCGTCGGTGGCTGATTGGAGAGCCAGCTTCTGGGCCTCCGCCGTATTGACATCGGCCAATCCCAGTGAGGCGTAGTCGGCAGCGGCTCCATCAAAGTAGCCCACCCTCACAAGTCCCTCGTAGAGGCGAACCAGGGCTTTGTCGACAGTGCTCTCATTCAGTGCCTTGCTGCTGTATGCCCCGGGAATATCTGACGACCCCGAATATTCACAGCTGTTGTCCATGCCGTTGTTAAAGCATGCGGCTGTTCCGGCTGCATTGCTCTTTGAGTAGTGGTGAGCGGAAGAGACGTCGGACACGGCCTCGCAATCGCTTGTGATATAGTTATTGCTCTGGGTCCAGTTCCAATGGTCCCGGAGGATTGTTTCGAGGAGATAACTGTTAGCACATGCAGGCACACCATTGATGCTGTTGTACGAGCACATAATTGATCCGACGTTGGAGTCACGGGCACACTGCTGGAATGGCTGCATGTAGTACTCGGCTAGGTCTTGCGCAGTAATCTTGGCGTCGAAGTTGTGCCGGGTCACGCCGCCCCAAGACTCCAAGTCGTAGCCGGCAAAGTGCTTGCAGGTGGCGATTATGCGCCGCTGTGGCTTGGTCCCTTCGAGGCCTCGCAGCAGGTGCTTTGTATAGCTTTTGATGCGCAGCGTGTCCTCACCCGGCGTCTCAGAGCCACGTCCCCATCGTGGGTCCCGGAAGGGATTCACGTCGGGTGTCCAATAATCCATCCCCGACCGATCACTGTTGCCGAATGCCCTCGCTTCTGTCCCAATAATTGCGCCGACGCTTTCTATCAGGTCATCGTCGAAGGCGGCCGACATCAGAATGGGCATTGGGAACGAAGTAGAGATGTTAAACGGCGCGGCAAACGACACGCCCGGAGCGGACGCCACTCCATGGAGCGCCTCACTCCACCAATTGTACGACGGCAGCCCAATACGAGAAACCCCCGGCGACTTGCTAACAACAGGCGTGACCTCAGTAGGCATACAGTGACGAGTATTTGGGTCTAGAGTGTAGCTGCGATGTCTTACCTGACAATGTTGGCCAGTTTTTCGTCTGTCTGCATCGACTCCACGAGCGCAGCAGCTCGATCACGAGGAGTCGCCTTGGTGTCGCATATCTTATTTGAACTGAACGGCGCGTTGGTACAGTCCGGCAGTGCACCCCCGCGCACTCCGCTCACTGCGATGAAGGCGAAAGCTACTAGAGACTTCATGGTTGTTGTAACTTACATACTCGAGGTCCATACTCGAGGTTTCCTAACCTCAAGAATAGAGGGTCGGGCGATAACATATATATAATAAAAGAAGAAGCAAACGACATTTTATTCCGGGCCATTTAGGCCAGATGCTTTAGAGAAGTGTAATAGGCATTGAGGTCCGTGTATGCGGATGGAGGCGAGCGAGTTCTAATGGCGGACGAGCGGTCAGAACCACCGACTCCGCCTGGAAACGGAGCAAATGAGGAGTCGGCAGAGATCCAAAAAGGTGACGGCTAATAAGTCCAGCTCCGCAAGGGGTAGCCAAGACGGCAAGAGTATTTCATGCCATATGTACCAATATAGGGTGACCAGAACGCTACCGTCCGATATTTATTAACTAAAAGTGCTAATTTGTGCTACCGACACTCAGATGAGAAGCGCGGGACTCAGTCCTGTCTCGATATTAGTTAGGAACGCAGGAAAATAACCGGCGTCGATTGCAGCCCCCGTCTCGGTACCGCCCCCCTCCCTAAAACTAACAAGACGAGCTTGACTACAGAGTAACAACACTGGTAGTAACACACTTGTTCCTATACGGTACTAGGCAGCCTTGAGGTTTATGACACAAAACCGAGCCAGTTTAGGGCGGCAACCATCCTAGCCATCCAGACTCAGACTCACCATTGAGCCTCCCACGGTGTAACTTATGGGCACAGCCGACTCTGTAATTATTGTGTGGCGCCAGCCGTTTTGCTGTTAGATTGTAATTACATCAATCGCCTCCCCACACCACGGCTTACCCACAAGCAATCCTCGAGACATTACCTCTACTTGTTCTACCATTCATATGTTCTTGGGAAGTTCTGCCTTAGTTGTGCAAATCGAGAGGTAGATTCGTAACTGCTTGCGTCGACTACTGAACTAGTAAGCGATACTGTTGGGGCGTGCTCTCTATTATTTGGCAATAAACCCCATATTAGCCCCAGACGAAGCTGCCACACTAGCTATGAATAGAGGATCAATACCAAGAGGCAGTTAGTATTGTAAAACCATCCACCTTCCGGGGTTTTATCCTTCGATATCTTTCTTGTACTTTACAGGAGCCGTCGGCGTAAACCGTTTCTTGGTTTCAGTTAACCAATACAAGTCGAACTAGGAATTTAGTATCGGCAAGGTCACCGAAACTAAAAAGCTTGTTCACTTTAGCATGACTTTGGTTTATGGGCCATCATGATATCCACCACGTGCACGGATATGGCAAAGCTGAAAGTATCAACGTTGAAATTATTAAGGATCTAGGGTGTGTTTCACTGCCTGTAGACATGGGGGTTACTTCAAGCATGCCGTTAATACGATCGGCATCACGGCCACCAGAAGCCATACTCCCCACCAACCAAGATCTCAAGGGCCAAGCCGTTATAACCCTCACCCCAAACGGCTAAGGGGCGCCAACTAGCACCAAGCCGTTTAGATAGTTCACCGGCTCCCTTCCCGACTCTATCATCGTTCTTGCTGCGGCGGAGGGGACCGAGACATTTACTGTCAACTTCGCCGACGTGCCGAGTCTTGGGGGGGTCTTTCACATTAACATAGCTATACGGCGTGCAAAATAGCACAGCTACTTCGCTCTCGTAGATGGCGGTTTTCAAGGTGGTTCACCCGGTGGTTAGTGCTGCCCCAGCTACTAAAACAAATGCTAAAGAATACTCTTTACCTTATTTTTACATGCCAGTTTTTATTTAAAGGAAGTTAATTATAGCGGGTCAGCGTGTGTTGTTATCGGTGTCTTTACTAAGCTTAAGGTACTCCAAATCTCTTCTCAGCGTAGAATGGTTCTGCTTCGACATACTCGGTCCGCTTCTCCCCCGGCTCCCAACGTATCGCGGGACCCATCTCGTCGTCGACTACACCGTCTGATTGTCTACTACGCTTCGGTCATATTTTGCCTGTTACGCCGTCTCTTGTGACGTGCCAATTTCTGCTACGTTTACCTTTGCGGCGTAGACATCCATATCCAGGTATTAACGGCCCGCTACGTCTCTTTGCAGAATTTATTGCACACATACTAATTTTGGCCATGAGCCAGAGCTCCTCAGAGTTTGGCTGGCTCCTTTGTCCTTATATATTACGGTACGATACACTTCTCGTGCTCTTATCGAACACTAGCTACGCAGCCTGATCGACTAGTAGAGTCCG